AAATGTATAATGGGGATCAAGTTGGGTCGAATTCTACATTGTCACCTCTTTGAACCGTAGTGGTTAATTCCTGGTGAACTTGCTAGGATGGTTAGTTGTTACCTAACCTCATGCTCATGCATATACAGCTATAGCAGAATAGTGCACTACTCCATTATCATACATTAAAAAATTTACAATAATAATACTAAGATCTTTATTGCACACTGAAAAATAATTACAAAAGATAAGATAAAAATAATTAAAAAAAAATAAACTTAACATAAATGAACTAGAGAAAAGGCGGCCTTATCGCTTAAAGCAATCTCTTTTTATTACCTATAGCAGTGGGGATCAATGGCATAGTAGCCATTTTTAGTTCGAAAAACGGATTTAGATGGCGTCATTGGTATCGAATGGAATTCAACATTGTTTTGTAATCGTTTAAAACCCAAAACTATGTTTTTAAAAAGGTTTAATCTATTTTTAAAAAGTCATACATAGATGTTAAAATGAAATAATGCGTTTTGAAAAGTAATTTTCATATATTTACTCATTTTGTTGTTGCCCTGTATTTGTTTACAATTTAATCATTGCTAATTGGGGCTTATTGTTTCCAAAATACTTTCATAGATGGCGCTGTTTTCATTTGTATCACCGTATTTTAAATGTTTATTTTATATTTTCAAATAATAAGTACTTACTATATTATTATGATAAATTAAACATAAAAAAAGTTTAAGTAAATATAAAACAGCTAAACAAGAAAACCATATTATTCCAGTAATACTTATTTAGAAAGTGTTGCCATATTAAAAATAAATGCATAGATTTATCGATTTTTTCGAATAATCGATAACAGGATATTACAACGCATTATTCGATGGTGCTTTTAATTAGTCTTTGCAAACAGTAAAATTTCATCATTTTGTATTATACTCTTATTTGGAACGAATTGCAATGCATAATTTTTACTCGACGACGGTAAAATAGAGAGATTTTGACAGGTATGCAAGTACTATATATTTATCTGTTCGCTCATAACTTCGAAACTTGAAGAGGGAAATATTAATTAGATTGATCTGATATAAGTGTACTCTATTATATCAACCTCCACGCGGTCACCCTGGTAATTATAGCAATTAATGACATTAGTGACATAGTTCTTCTATTAAAAAAAAATAAATACCTACTTATTGCAATTTAATGAATGAGAATTGAATGTGGTATAGAGTATATAAGGTCAGCTATACCTTTATGAAACCTCAATAAACAAGTGTTATATGGTATCTAAATTACTGACATTGATAGCTAAATATGAGGATCCTCGAATTTTTTAAAATACTCATAAGAAACTTTACAAATACTCGAATTTAGCTTTTGTAGAAGGATATTTTCAACCTTACTAAATTGTACAAGGTTTTGAAACGATAATCATTCATAATACTATGATATATTACTGATCCTAGTACCTACTATTCATGATAATTAGTTTTTTAATATCTCCATTCGAGGGTAGGTTATTCATAATTTATATTATTAGATTTCATCACAAATAAAAATATCGATTTAAAATCGTAGGTTGGTCCATATTTTTTTATTATATCGAAATGACAACGAGTACTGGCAACATACATGAAATGTTAAAAATATAAAATATAGGAATAAAAGAATAGGATAAACGACTTTAAGTCAAATGCTTAAAACATATTTTCACTAGCATTGGATTTTTTCTCTTTTTTCATCATTTAAGTTAAGTAGGTACTTCAACTTTTGAATTGTTCCTGTTCAGAGTTCATTGAACTTCTTATTTTTTTGTCAAACTCAATAATTTAAATGTGTCTAAGGACTACTACAAATATTTAGTAAACTATTGTGTCTTTGAGGATTATCTCATACCAGGTATAACTATAAGTTGTTAAAATCTTGCATATGTATGCGTGTGTATCTTTCATATTAAAATATAATAAACATAGGTACTTGGTGACCGCTTTAATGTGGTATTATTATGTTTTTATTATTGTTATGAATGTAACTTCAAAAAACTAACACTGATTTTATAATTTTTGATTGATTGAGAAAATACTGAAAATTATTAATCAAAATAAAGTACTAAACAGTAGTATTATTTTTATATTTTATTAGAACTGAATGAATATGATGTATGAATAATATGTTTATTGTGCTAATAAGGTTACAGTTTAGTTACTTTCATGTAAATTCATTCATGTAAGTTCATGAAAATGTAACATGGTATATGATATTGTTTTCAGATTTTCCGGACATCAACAACTTAATACTGAACAAAGTTTAAACAAATAAGAGATGATATTCTAAATCTCCTAGTCATTCAGATGAAGATAAATAACATTTTTACTGTAAAGAACAGGAGTTCAAAAGAATAAGAAATATATATATATATATATATATGAACATTCTACTGTATAAAATAATAATGCAAGTAAAAATAAGAGAAAAAAGCAGAAGAAAAATCTGTAAATTATTAATCACAATGCAATTAATAATATAATTAAATAAGTAAGAAAGCAACGGACTAGTGATGAGAAGAAATTCCAAGTAATTATATTATGTGTAACCGACTACAAATAAGTTTATGATTTAAGCTCATGATTATTATTATATTGCTTCATCAACAAATCCAGGAATATTTTGTGTACCAGGAATTAATTATGAAATGATTTTGATGAAATATTATGTCTTGATATTGATTTTGGAATATAATATAAAAATAACAGAAGTGTTTGAAGTTTTAGTGGTATAACAGACAAGCAGTGAAAGAAATATTATTGTAAATTATTAACAATTGTTTATTCTGTGATTAATAAATTATTAAAAAGTGTTTTATTACCTGAAATAAAAATGTTATGATCTTCAAGTGTTGTGTTCATGCAATGTTAGTTTCACCTCATTTGATTTAAAATGTCAGGAATTATTTACTACATAATGATTTTGTATTAGATGGTAATCATATATATTTTTTAATGCAATGTGTATAATAATTCCCATTTACATCAAAAAACTTTGTGTAAATCTATATTTCTCTGTCTATAGACTTTGGTTGTGGAGTACTAATAAGAAACAAAATCTAGAGACTGTAGTATATCAGAGCATCCCAGAACCTTGTATTTAAGTCATATAAGGACTTAGTACCTACCTAATACTTGCTACTTTTTTAATCAATTAATTAATTTGATCTCAATCATCATGATGAACAATGATGATAATGTTGAGAATACTGCCAATGATGAATTTTATGGTGGTCATAAATAAATACCACCGTCACTATCGTCAACAGTCATTATTGATCTCATCATCATCACCGTTACCCTCCTTCATCCATATTGTCAAAAGTTACTACCTACTATTATGAACTGAAATGGTAAATAAGCTGACGATCCATCCAACCACGACGCTATCCGACGTACATAATATTACGTATATATTATTAAACAGCATTACGTCATCATGTCGTGCCCGCTATATCCCGCATACGTTATCATTCCGGAGAACATAGATGTTATGTCCAAATATCCTGTAATTTCGCAGCTTAATTTCAACTGAATAACAACTTACATAAATACCAAAAAACTAGCAGTAAAGGCGTAGTTTGTAGATATCGAAGGTTCTACAAATAGGTATAACATCAAAATAAGTACCTACATGTCATTAGCACCGATGTAGTATCCCTGAAAGGACCTACATATAACAGATTGATGGTTTGCAGATATTATTTTCAGTTTTACAAATTGCCAGTTTACCGTAATTAACTACATATTGAGAAATAATTATATACTGAAAATTATATGAGGTACCCATATGCACATTAATTGATTATAGCTAAAATCTATCACTATCACATAACAATTTAAATAAAAAAAACCGTATTAAAATCGGGCTATTCGTTAAGGAGCTATTGCTCCTTAACCGATAGCCCGATTTTAGTGCAGACGCGTTACGACGTATCTTCGTCGGGAGAAAAAAAGTAGGCATGTAAAAAAGTAACTGTAACATAGTACATAGATACATAGGTACATTAGCCGTGTCTGTAGACTGTCAGCGAACAATATTATACCTACATTGAATTTTCGATTGTACCCAATCAGGAGTTCGATACAGTTATATATCTATTATGTACGTATCTTTGCAAAACAGATGTCATGTAGACCGAATTCTCTGCCATCTATTTTCATGCTTTATTACTAATCACCCACTAGTAATCCGAACTGCTTCAGATATAGCGACATCTAGCGCCTACGGCGGCGAAATAAAATAGCCCGAAGAATAGCCCGAGTTAGGAAGGAACCATTTTCTTGTATGGGATGGGGTATCTGTATGTAATATTATATTATCTGTGCCTATAGTAAGTGAGAAGTTAAATTATTATAGTTCATTAATAATTTATAAATGTAGTATTTCTGTTTCTATGTCTCCGTTAGAAACATAGATGAAAATAAATTTAAAGTTAAAAAAATATTTGTGTTTTATATTTAAAATCCAAAAATTTTCAGATGTTTGCGTCTACCTCGACTCGTTTGAAATAAAATAATCTTTATTTCAAAATTATGCAAGTAGTCTTTTTTTATTATATTTCTATATCTTTATAGAAAGGAAATCACACTATCTCATCGGTTAGAGGACATAGATTACTAGCAAAGAATATACTACTCAAGAGTTACATACACAGGTTGCATAACTTCGAAGTGTCTTTGAATATTTGATTATTAACCGGAAGCGGATGTATCTGTATCTGTAAAATACAAATATTTTTTGTTTGTTTATCTCAAAAAATGGGGATTCAAGGATCAAGTAAAATTCATTCATGATTGACATATGAATGAGTTTCATATACATCATTTCAATGTCAGCCAATTGACAAATTCAAATTTGACAATCAGTATTTTTAGGTTATGATTCATTCATTGCGATTATATTTATTTTGTCCTGTCTAATCTTATTATAATTAATCTTTTAATACCTTAGAAATGCTATAAACCTGGAAAATGAATGTCATTTTTATACTGTTATTTATTTTTATTGCTATTTACTCTTGTGTTTCATGGTAAGAATTCGATAACTGAAATGCTAGACTGTTATTTTTGTTTTGCAAAACAATGTTTACTATGTTATTTTTTTGCCTACTAGGTTGCTCCCAACGTTACTATCCTGGTTGTTCAAAAGAAAGTACCACATCAGATTAAAAATTGGTAAAATTTCAGTTCTTAAGTTTGTACTGAAAGACGTAAGCCTATCGAAAGATAGACATTTTGTTGTAAGTATATTCAGTATATGTTACTCTGAGGATTTTGTAGTAGTATATTCTTTTTTTTTATGTAATTGAATGGTCAATAAGCTGACTGCCCACTTGATAAGTAATAACCGTTACCTGTATGTACATGAACACTACAGACATCACGTCAGTGTGTAACGCCGGTAGTACTTCCTTATTCTCTACCATTACTTGCCATTTTGTCAAAACTACGACACCTTCATATGCTTCAGGGGTCAGGGAACAAATTATTTGTATAGAACCCTTGGTTTTCAGCAATTGCCTTTTACATCTATACATATAAATAAAATAGGAGTGTCTGTTTGTAGTATTGAAATAACCGTTTTCTACTACATGCATATGAATATAAATACGGTACATACACAAATATAATATTTTTTACAATTTTTATCTGTCTGTCTGTCTGTTTGTTCCGGCTAATCTCTGAAATGGCTGGACTGATTTTGACGGGATTTTTTTTAGCAGGGCAGGTAGCTGACGTAATAAGGAGTAACTTTGGCTACTTTTATTTTAGAAGAATTCTTTATTTTAGAATAATAAAGTTAAATTCCATATGGATGAAGTCGCGGGTACAGCTAGTACTCAAATATAAAATTTACAGTTTATTTGTATAATGAATTTCCAATCATGAATTTTTTACAGCATATAGATGAATTATCATTCCGAAGTAGCTTCTTCAGTTCAGAAATCAATAAGCTAGTGTTGGTAGTTATAAAAGGTGTTGAAGTCACCAATCATGTTGAGGAGAAAAGGAGTGTTGTCGTTGAGACCATTCTCAAGCCATTGTTGTCTAAACAGAACTCAATATCTAAAAGCGAAGGTGCTGACCAGGTTACCAACCTAAGCAACATTGATTCTGAGTTGAACAAAATCATCCAAAGAAAGATACTGGACTTCAGAGATAAGAAGTTGCCCCCAAGTCTCATTATGTTCGCTCAGGTAATTTTTTTCTTATTTTACTTTTGTAACAGCAATGATTAACAATCTAATGGTCAACCTGAAGGTGAATGACAACTGTTACCTTTGTAAATGAGCAGCAACTACATGATGATACCATTTCAGCTCCTAATGTTGCTCATCACTTGCTATTTCAGAGGATTAAGATGTCATGGCCTATAACTTCGGTACCATATCTCTTCCTTCAATTAAAATATGGCCTACAAAGTAAACACCTTTATGGCTGAAATATACAAAGATAGTCACATAGACTACTATGTAGAAAGTGTATTGTACTCTTTTCTAATGATCCTACTGGTTTTACTCTATTTAATACTTATCCTAACTTGAGATCTATGTAATAATTCAGTAATACTTCAGTATTATTACAGTATATTGCTCTAAAAATATGGATTCCTAATAATAACAGGAGGTTGAATAATGTTGAGGGCAAATATCCTCAGGGTTTATTACCAATGCAATGAACTGACCTTATCAAAATGGCTACACAGCAGTTCATTGTCAATGTTCTCCTAGAGCCAGAAACCTTAACAGGTGGAGAAAAATTGCGAGGAGCTCTGTCACCAAGGAGGACAATGAAATGTATCCAATGATACCACTATTAAAGCCACAACCACTCTGTCAAGACTGTATGATTAATGAAGATGAAGAAATAATAATGTAACTTTCCTTCACTTTCAGTTTATGGGTGTCCATGTGTATAATGCTTCAATTGCCATCCACAATGAAATTATAAACAGTGCATCACTGAACTTCACTGCATCAGAAGTTCACGCTGATGGCGCTGCAGGCGGGCCTGCGAGAGCTCTAGTGTTCTCTGCAAACCTAGTTGAGTTTAGGGGAAAAGTCCTCACAGAGAAACAATGTTTAGCTGAGGCATGTTGCAGTCTGTTAATAGAAGGGACTGTTAAAGCTGATGGCCCTTTAAATGTTGAGGTAAATATTGATATACATGTCATAGTGTGTAATGAGATTTTACTTTCTCATCTATTATTTGTAATTTGTCATTCGGAACCATTTCCAATATACTTACTAGAAATGTACTCAATGTGTGAGAGTAATAGCAGAGAGGTCGTGAGTTGAAACTGGCTGGCACTAAATAAAAATTTTTATATGTCTATACCTTTCTGATTTTTATGATTGAATCACTTAAATCAAAAATTAATTTGAGAGCTGGCAATAGACTTATAATATGGAGCAAAATATTGGCATATAGAATTGCATGTGTTGCGTTCACCAGAACATCCTGCTGCCTGTGGCAGTCATGTCATCTCTGAAGACGCCATTATTTAGATTTAACACATTCTTATTGTAAATTTTAACTTGTTCATAACTTCTGTGTACCAAAGAAAGTTTTAAATTAAATAATTAAAATTGTGATTATAGAAAATTCATGCGGTAATAAGCAACACAACTGTATCATTCCAAGATGAGATTTACCAGTTCATACAGAAGCACAAAGGTCGTAGAAAGAGCCTGGTCCAGTCAGATCTGGGAGGAGAGGATCATATGAAAACCATAATTCCAAGATTATCACCAGTTATACCAAAGGTAATTTTTATAAATCTATTTAACTACATGATCTGAGGGGAAAGGGGATTGTTAGTAATGTGGACTTATGAACACATTGCTAACAATATACTACAACTGGTTGACCTCTACAAGGTTCCCCCTGGAACCAAATGTGACTAATTTCATATGTGAATTTGACAAGAGATCTGACCTCATTCTCATACTTTCATCCTCCACTGGTGCCTCGTCATCATAAACCGTAAGCGCAGGTGGGAGCACTGTTCCATTACCATTCTCCAGACGACATCGGTGGTCTAGCGGTTTAGCACACCATTACGATCGATGGTCGTGCGTTCGATCCCTCGCATGGCACAAACATTTGTATTCATGAGTATGATTGTTTATATCGGTCTCAGTGTTTTCTATGTATAATATGTATGTATTTACAAAAAAAAATCTATATATGTATAGGTATCAGTTATCTAGTACCCATAACACAAGGTTTAGCTAGCTTAACTTGGGTCTAGATGGCGCTGTGTGAATTGTCTTGATATTATTATATATTATATTATAATATTCTATAAAAAAAATATCATCATTCAGCCATATAGTGAAACTTTACTAAAATTAGAAATGTGTCATTGTTTGTAAATGTACTAAGTCATGTAGTCATAGTAGTATAACTTCTACATGTTATGATGGAAATAGACATTCAATAATCGCTGTCAGTGACGGTGGTCTAGCTGTTTAAACATACCGCCTTAATTCCTAAGGTCGCGGGTTCGATACATCGCACGGTAAAAATATTTATTTTCATGAGTATGTATGTATTTACAATTATCAGTTGTATAGTACCCATAACACAAGCTCTGCTCAGCTTGGGACTAAATGGCGCAGTGTGAATGGTCCTGAGATATTATTATTATTATTTTTATGTATTTTTTTATCTGGTTTCAAAGAAGAGAAGTTATTATTATTGGTCTACATGACATCATACATCGACTGAATGGTTCTAAGATGTTATTAAAAAAAACGTTCTCCCTCCGCCCCACCCGTCATGGCGTTTGCGGTATCATGGTTATTATTTTAAGCTAGGAATAGTGACATTACTGTAGTCTTGTGTTGATTACAGATCTTCAGTTTGCGTGTAGACACAACGAAAATTAGATGCGTGAATAACGTCGCCAAAACAAATTTTGAGATGTCACTGCAAAGTCTTCAGGTAACATTTTCATTGAAGATTATTTAAATATTTATTTAATGTATGTGGTTTGTTTGACGTGTTGATAATAAAACGAGAAGTCAAAGGCGGATGAGTTTGTACAAAATGAAGAATGTTATTAGTTATTTGTTGTTGTGGCGACCCCTATGGTAATGTTATCACAACGACAAATAAAAACTACATTGTATAATTTTCAAGATCAAAAATTAACAAATGAATGATTAACTTAATAATTATTTACTTTTCAGTTAGTCAGTCTATGTATAACTTCTTTGTTTTAAACAAGCCTATTTATGTGTCTATGTCTATATCTAATATTAAATGAAAAATCCCCACTTGAATAGTTTAGTGAATTTATTAAATATGATTTAAAACAGATGTTTCAAAGTTATTTACAGGTATTAATATAATGTAATTATAATTGTAGGTAAATTCGAGGTTCAGTGCCGCTTCGGTGATAGTGGACGACAGCGGCACCCACGTTACGGGTCTACCTCAAGTTTACGTGGCCTTCCAGATGGACCAGTATCAAATGAAGACAGATAACGAAAAATTATTGTATCTACATAAGCTCAAACTTGATGCTAAAGTAAGTTTAGATTATTTATTACTAACTATAATAGTACATGTGGGAAAGAGAAACGTTATGTCGTCTCTATCGCACACTGCTGGCGTCATGCGAGCATTAATCTGTTAATGACGATTGAGAACAGTGGTGTGTGTTTAAGAGCCGATAATAGGAAGACAAACAGTACACGAACGTTAAGGTTTTGCGTAAATTGATACATCTAGAATTAACATTATTTTGTTTTGTTTAATTTAATATTTAACAACTTTTTACTAATGTAAATTTAAAATTATTGTTTAATATCTGTTTGTACTTGCTAATCTCTGAAACAGCTGTTCCGATTTTGAAGGTACATTCATTTGCAAATATTGAAAGCTAGGACAAAAAACACACTAATAATATTATTACGATTTTCTTACAGCTGGAAAAAGGTGTACTGAATCTGTACTTGATAATAAGTACTCTAAAAGTCACCTACAACCATAGTCAGGTATTTGAATGGTACTCGTCAGTTATGGAGAAGATTAGAAAATCAAGGGCATTAGAACTTAAACCTATTATGACAAAAGGTAAGTTACTTAAACCTATTATGACAAAATGTAAGTTAGTTTTAAATAAGATAATTTTTAATTATCTTTTACAAATAGCATGATTAGCTCTTCTAACTTTCGAGCTGTAATATGATAGTTGTATACTTATAGCACAGGGCTAATATTTAGTTTAGGTTATCAGGGTCATTTTGTATTACACAGTATCTGCTATTTTATTACCTAGAACCAATTTCAACAGTTCCTTTTTAAATGTTGTAAATTTATGGCTTATACAAATAAAGTATTATTATTATTACTATTTACAGGGTGTATGATTGTGTATAGAAAAATATTAATCATTAATTATATAGTAAAGTATTCATAGTTCACTTTAGCTACACACGCACGCACACCCTCCCGCATAAATACATACGAACATAATTTCCATAATTACGCACACGCTGTACATCAGCTTCTTAGTGAGGGTAGTTCCCCCATATCTTTGGTTTACCAAGAATCCGAAAGGGGTAGGGGAACTGGTCTATTTTTTTATATTTTATATTTGTTTGGGCTGTTATTGCGGTACTTTAGACCTGTAGCACTGCGAATTGCATAAATGTATTGTGCATATTTTTTAGAAATTACTTTCGTTTTATTTTTAGAACCATCCACGCCTGTTTGGGTGACTCGGTTATTTGCGGCTTGCGTGGTGCAGGGCTGCGCCGAATTGCGTGAGGTTCGAATACACACACACTTGTTAGAGGAACGCGAATTGGCTATCGGCTGTGCTGGTGTCAAAGTCAAATTGGATCAACTTCTAGACACAACTAACAGAGGTAAGTCGTAATTAATCACGAGGCGAGAGTAATTTATTATGTAATTATTCATTACCGTGATAACAATATCAGAAATATAATGTAAGAGTTAAAAAGCAAATAAAAAATGCTGTGTACGCTAGACACAACATGTTTCCTTATTTTTCCCACATATACTATGTGCATACACACCCACAGACACAATACCACACTACCGAATGAACTTACTAAGGTACAACACACTACCTAGATACTACAATAAACAAATAAATTATGTAGCGACATCTCATCACATCATATATAACGCTACAGCGGTGAAGTGATAACCACCGCGCTACTACTACGTCCACTAAACAGGTTACGGACTCAATCAAGCGTTTATTGTACGACAGAGGAGGTGCACAAAGAAGGCGGTGGCCGCGGGCAGTGGAGCGCCGAGCTGCTGGTGGACGGCGGGTGGGCCGCGTGGGGCGCGACCCCCGCGGCGGGGACGGCGGCCGGCTCCGCGGCCGCGCCGGGCCCCGCGGGGGGGCGCCCCGCGCCGGGGGCGGGCCCCGCGGTGGGACGCCCCGCGCTGGGGGCGGGCCCCGCGGTGGGACGCCCCGCGCTGGGGTCGGGCCCCGCGCCGCCGCGCCGCCGCCACGCGTGGGGCTCCGCGCTGCTGGCCGTCGCACTCGTCAAGTGGGGCAGCCACGGACACGACAACTCCAAGGTTCTTTCTGCAAACCTTATTATTTAATTTCTTACCATTTTTTTATAGCACAAGGGACAAACGAGCTTGCTTGGCTCACCTGATGGTAAGTGATTACCGCCGCCCATGAGCACCCACAGTACTAGGGGAATTTCAAGTGCGTTGTTGGCAGTTTCAATATCGTATCGGTTCGGAAATAATGCGGCAAGGTGATTCCACAATGTGGTTGTGGTTTCCAAGATTATCATTAGTTTTTCAGTCTGGTTTTTTAAATTTTTTTAGTCATAGTTCGAGGTTTATTATTTTAAATATTGTGACGTCAATAGTTGTAAGTAAAAACTATTGTTAATATAATTCTCTTAGTCCTAATCTATGGACAATTGTTACCATGTTACTGTACATACATATTCGTGTATGAAAAAAATCACACAGAAGAAAAAAATCAAATTTACTGATTAGAAAATCAGTTTATATAGATAACTTGACTTATGTACTCTCTTTCAGGTGGAAGCAATGATGGATTGCCTCCGTCTAGAATGGAGCCCTTCCATCGCAAAGACCATCATAGCACTAGTGGACAGTCTCAATCAGTACCGATCCTGTACAACTACCAATCGTCCATCCCTTCCTTCCACCGAATATCCAAACAATATTACAATAAATGTTGCACTCTCACATATAAACTTGTTCCTAATACTGAACGAGACGATGTGTCTAATGACCAGAATCGATGCAGTGACCATAGAAAAGACTACGAGCAAATCTGGCGCGGTCGTGTCAGGGCTGAAGATGGTTGATATGGTGCCTTATGAAGGTATTTATGTATAAATATGAATATATCCTTGCCTTTGTGAGGGATAGTTATAGGTATTCTTTATTAGTGAACTCAATACTTGATTTCACCAGAGAGTCTGTCAAAAATATAAGTTATCATTATTTTTTTACTGAGACAAAGATTAAACTATTAAATTTTATAGTTTAATCTGGGTGACAGTAAAAAATGATTTGGTGATGATGAATTAATTAAATTATTGAATTGACGACACATATGCTAATATTTCCTGTATAAGAAATAAAAAAATAATGTTATATTTCTTTTGACTATATTCCTAGACGAGATTATCAGAGCAGTTGTTAATAGTCGATGTTTTTCTGAATGTAACTCTTGACATGCCCAGTTTACTATGAGTTTTTCAATGAAAAATGGCAGTGAGCGAATGAGCGAAATACTTTATGTGCTAATGTATATAAAAGTAATGATAAACTCACCGTTGATGCGGCAGGGTGAGCCCTATCACTTTGAATATAAACTAGGTAGTCTATTACAAACAAATGTTCTTAGTGATGTGTGGATTTTTTTAAACGCTTCGTTGGCAATACTAATTTATTCGTATAATATTAATGATGGTTTTCAGGCAATGTACATTGTTATAAATCGGACGAGATCGTATCGTCATTCTTCTACATCCGACTGGCGAGGATAGAACATGTGCCTTCGAAGCAATCCCACTCAGCTCTTCTGGATTTCCAGTTCAAAGAGAATGTAGACTTTGAGTGGAGGGTTAATTTACACCTCAAGATGCTCACACTTTTTAGAGCCATCAAGAGTTTCACAAAAGAATTGAAGGAGAAGTCGATACGAAATGACACGGACACTGCGGTGAGAAGAGGGAGACAGTTAGACTGGAAGATCTCTTTTAAGGGAGAAACGAATGTAGAATTAATATTGTCAAAGGAAAATAACATGCTGTTTGCAACTGGTAAGTTTCAATAACGATCTCGGTGGTCTAGCGTTCTAGCACACCGCTTTACGACCGATGGTTGCGGGTTCGATTCCTCGCACGGCACAAACATTCATGAGTATAATTGTTTGTGTCGGTCTGGGTGTTTTCTATGTATAATATGTATGTATTTACAATAAAAATATCTATGTATATGTATTAGTTATCTAGTACCCATAACACAAGCTTTAGCTCGCTTAACTTGGGTCTAGATGGCGCTGTGTGAATTGTCCTGATATTATTATTATAAGTTATCGTTGTTATGTATTTTAATTGTAAACCTATATCACTCAAATTAATTAGTTCATGTTAAGTTAATTTTTTTTTAACTTATAAGTCAATATTTAATACAAAAAATTACAAAAGCAATCTGTGTAATCCAACGCGGCACACCGCGGCAGCGTACCCAAGATACTGGCAGCGTTGCCTCTTTGAATTTTTTAAGTTAAATATATTAAATCTGCTGTGGTAAATCTAAATACAGTATTTAGAGTGCCTTCTTTTGTTCTACTACAGAACTTCCTACCTAAGGGGGCGTGCCTCCTGGAGTGAAGTGTAGATAGACGTTAAATAGGGTATAATACATATGTAATTTTAGAACAAAAATTAACTTACAACATAAATATAATCACATTTCTTCGTCGGTCAATGTTTGGACATTACATAAACATAGTTCAACAATATAAACATTGGACAGCCATGTTCTAAAAAAATTAAAAAATATATTATGTAAACATACAACAGGGTTATTTCCTGTTCCTCTCTCTCTCTCTCTCTCTCTCTCTCTCTCTCTCTCTCTCTCTCTCTCTCTCTCTCTCTCTCTCTCTCTCTCTCTCTCTCTCTCTAACTCTGTTATTTTTCTCTTATACAACAGATGACCTGACCGTATCGTACGACCACGATAATGGCTTGTCCATAGTGTGGAGTCTGCTGAAGATGGTGCTGAACGGTGACGAGATTGTCACAGTCGAGGGCTACTCGATGGAACGGGTCGCTGATGACCACGACGTCAGAGTGGAGAGGAAGGCTAACGAAGGGTTCACGCTTATGTGGAATAAAATTTGGTAGGTATCTTATTTGATGGTTAATTAAAAAACGGCAAAAGATCATTGAAAATTGAACATTATTTTGGAAAGTGAACTTGGAAAGAAAGAAAATATTTTTATTGTCAACCATTGCCTTACTGCACACTGAATAGCCTCCAAGTCTATGCATCTTGTATATCCTAATAATATTATAAATGCGAAAGTAGGGATGTTTGTACTCCTTCACGCAAACTACTGAACGTATTTTGATAAAACTTCACAGTAATATAGCTTATGCATCAGAATAACAGATAGGCTATATTTTATATTGAAATTTAAAGTGGGTGAAATCGCGGGTACAGCTAGTGTTTATATAGATCTCTACATTGAGTGTGATCATTGTCAAATTTTATAATTAGTATGTTTACATTTTTACACTTGTTTGATATGAATTCTAAAATTGTCGAAAATTTATCAAAATGCCTCTTAAAGATATATAATCTATAAAGACCATGCAATAAAAACAAATAAATATAATGAAATAATAAATGTATTAGTGATGGCGATGTGGTTAATTTATATGCGAAGTGGGAGCGAGAGAAATCTTTCTTAATCTTCAAAAAGATCTTGTTTTGAACTACAATAAGTTCTATACTAGGATGTGTATCTAAAGCAGCACTATCAGGCTTCTACTAGATTTGGCTGGGCAGGAATAGAAACACTAGTGGTGAAGGTAAGCGTTGATGTAGTCGGCAAGGTCCCCTTAAACCTACACCAGGGTCACAAGTCCCGGGAACTGCTCGGAGTTTCCGTACCTGCCACACGGTGGACCCTGCATCCTCGCGGTGAATCCAAGGAATGTTCGGAAGTTCGTCTCAAATTTTGTTTATAAATAATGTTTATTGTACACAGGTCGGTAAATGTGGATTCTGTACGTGTAATATTCCCGTATAAACATCGGTTTGCTGAAGCCGTGCAGGGCGACTTCGTAACGCTGTTCAAATGGATTAAATTCGTTCACGGTATACAGAAGAAACCGTTTACTGTGGATAGCCCGTTGCCTAGTGACTTGCATATCAAGGTTGGTTTTTTTTATTGATAAATAGATAAATATGTACATACATAAGGCTATAGTAATGTTGTAAATGTGAAAGTGTGTCTGTATGTCTGGTTGTAACCGATTTACGATGGAATGGCTGAATGGATTGGACGTGAAGATTCATTGTATCAGAAGGATGGATTTGAGCTATCTTTTATCATAACTTCAAATTCAAATTAAAAAATCATTTATTATTATTATATATTCATGTTGGACAGTTTAGCCGCTTATTGAACATTTTTTTTATATTATATTCTTTTTCCTACTGTCCAGTTCAGTATATAGATCCAATTGAGAAGAACTGGCAAGAAACTCAATTGAATATTATTTTTAAAAGCCAGTTTATTTACTATTATATTTATATAGGTGTCTATGTCTAACATTAAATGAAAATCCCGTGTATGAACAACTATTGCCACGCACGATCGTCTTGCAAGTAATCGTTTAGTGAATAGTAGGCTTTGCTCAGTAAAGTAAAAATTAAGTAAAACTTTGCATTATAGACTTTGTACAGGTATGGCACTCGCACTATTTTTTGATTAAGTTTCTAATTAGATGACTTATTGTTATATAGATTGAGGAGATCCTAATTGAAATGAGCGATGATCCGTTTGAAGTGAAACTGCGCGACAACTATGAACTATTAGAGGACGAGTACAAGGAGAGTCAGAAGCGACGCACAATGTTGGACGCCAAGGTAAATGACAGTGTAATTATTAAACACGATTAATTGATTTGCAACTAAAATTATATGGTGTATTAGTAAAAACGTTTGTGCAATTAAAATCTGCTGTATTAGTTTATTTGCTGTATATATAAACTTACCAATAAATTAATATCGATTTGAGCGGCTTACGATCGGGTTCGGATTTAATTCTATTTTCTTGTTCTACTTTCTATTATACATATGGAAAAGTAATGAGCACTATTGGGATCAATTGCTAACAGTGTGCCATGTCCAGTTAATATGCACGTGGTTCACCTTTGAAACTATCGTGGAGGTTAATGCCCCGTGATAGGCCTGATCTAGCTTCATGTCAATCCTATCATTCTCCACTGTTCTATTGTACCTAGCGCGAGCGCAATGAATTCATCAAACGATACATGCAGGTACAGAAACTGTGTAAGCCGCCGCTGTTCCTGCCGTCGGGCAAGGTGGAGGAGCTGTACGCGGCGCTGCGGCAAAAGGACGCGCAGATCTACGTCCAGCGCAGCCGCGCCGCGCCGCCGCCGCGCCGCCGCCTCGTCGCCTGCACGCTCGCGCGACTCCGACTGATCGCGCTCGCAGACCCCGCGCTGCACGGCACCGAGCACGCACGCGCGCGGCTCAGGGAGCTCGACGCAGACAGGTGACCGCCGCCGACCCCGCGCTGCACGGCACCGAGCACGCACGCGCGCGGCTCAGGGAGCTCGACGCAGACAGGTGACCGCCGCCGACCCCGCGCTGCACGCCACCGAGCACGCACGCGCGCGGCTCAGGGTTAGCTCGACGCAGACAGGTGACCGCCGCCGACCCCGCGCTGCACGGCACCGAGCACGCACGCGCGCGGCTCAGGGAGCTCGACGCAGACAGGTGACCGCCGCCGACCCCGCGCTGCACGCCACCGAGCACGCACGCGCGCGGCTCAGGGAGCTCGACGCAGACAGGTGACCGCCGCCGACCCCGCGCTGCACGCCACCGAGCACGCACGCGCGCGGCTCAGGGAGCTCGACGCAGACAGGTGACCGCCGCCGACCCCGCGCTGCACGGCACCGAGCACGCACGCGCGCGGCTCAGGGAGCTCGACGCAGACAGGTGACCGCCGCCGACCCCGCGCTGCACGCCACCGAGCACGCACGCGCGCGGCTCAGGGAGCTCGACGCAGACAGGTGACCGCCGCCGACCCCGCGCTGCACGGCACCGAGCACGCACGCGCGCGGCTCAGGGAGCTCGACGCAGACAGGTGACCGCCGCCGACCCCGCGCTGCACGCCACCGAGCACGCACGCGCGCGGCTCAGGGAGCTCGACGCAGACAGGTGACCGCCGCCGACCCCGCGCTGCACGCCACCGAGCACGCACGCTGGTTGGTCTGGTGTTAATCTGGCCGTGTGAAGTACGGGTGCCTACATTAGCGCTCTAGTTCGGCATCTTTCTTAGAAGCGCATCCAAAGCGGAACGTACAGTATGCGATGTGATGCCACACTAAGTAATTTTAGGGATGTTACAATATATAAGAAATGTGTGTGTATGCCTGTATTTATTTTGTTTCGTATATACTACATATATATATCTTCTATAGTAATATACCCTATAAATTATGTAATAAACTAACTACGTCGTTATTAATTTATCGTTCTATATGTGTTCTTTTTATATCGCCCAAAAACTTTCTGAATAGATTCTAACAAAAATAAAATCTTTTCACTTTATAAGTTAAGAGCGTATGTGATTGCGGCAGCCCGTGGCCTGAGGACGGCGTGGAGTTCACGACGCTGTGGTGCCGCGCCATCTCGATGAGCTGCTCTCAGTGGCAGCTGCTGCTGCGGGACTTCCCGCAGCCGCTGCTCAGCATGAGCGACCTGCGAATGTGGGGCACACTACTCGGCGCCGAAGAAGTACCGCCTTCCAGAGGTAATTGTTTTTTTGTTCGACTGGCAACACCAACGACAGTTGTCTTTATCAGCTGGCCGTAATAAATAAATAATTTTTAATAGTTTATCACACGAATATTATAGTTCCGATATCATTATTAGTGATTTAATAGTGCAATAAGTGTCGATTATTGTTTGTGTACAAATTGGAGGTGTATTATTTGCAAAAATCGACATTAAAAAATAGTGTACCGGCCATCTGTCAAACTTCTTTCGTTGGTAAACAACTAAATATTTAAAACTATTCTATAACTATTTGTTGGAGTTATTCAAAGAATTTCATAATATATACAAGTTTTATACAAAATATTCATATCAAGTTAAATTAATATTAATAATTGTGAAGTTCAGTTGTTGCGTACGTCGAAGGAAAAAAATACCCACAAAATATATTGTAAGTAATTTTATGTTTTGTATTAATATAATTTGAAGGAAAGGAGCACAATCTAATTCCATTTACTTAATCTTATAAAATATAGGTTGTATATAATATATCTAACAGAAATAATTAAAAATTTTAAGACTTAAAATAAGTAAGGTTCAGTTGCTGTTCTCGTTGTGATACTTTGTTTCTTTTAGAAATAACTCACTTCACTCTCCCTAGTAACTATTCATATATTCAATAATGTCACTATCTACCTGTTCCACAACTGCACGGCAGACAGAGATGAAGCTTAAAGTAGCCCTACAAGAACTTCAGGCATCCAAAGATCTTAGTGACAAGTTGATCAGGGAGAGAGAAGAGAGTGAAGATGAAATTTTAAAAATTATAAATAAAAATACACTATTAAAATCTGAACTGTCAGAACTTCATAATAGTCATCAGGAAGTTATTGAGCAGCGGGATCAGCTTCAAGAACTAATAAGTAGCTTTCATCAGTGTAGTGACACCCATGAACAAGCCTTGAGGCGTATCACTGAATTGGAGCTTGAGTTAAAGCAGGCCTATTCTAAAATTAATGATCTAGACACAAGATTGGAATCTCAGCGAAGTAATGAGATTAGTAATTTATATGAGGAACTTATTAGTGTTGACTGTGTGCCTCCTTCGACTACAGTTCCATACACTCATCCTGTTGTGATTGACCATACTAGTGATACATCTCCTAAATTAGGCAACTATAACAATAACATTTGTATGTTGAGTCATAATAAATTAAAAAAATATTTAAAACTAAAAAAGTTTATTATTAGGACTCGGAATATATTAAATAAGCGTTGTAAAAAGGGTCAGTTATTGAAAAGAAATACTTTAAATAATTTAAAATTGCATGATTATATTAATAAGTGTAATAATAAGTTATTGGAAAGCCAAAAGTTATATGACATTGATACAGACTACCTAACTTCAAAAATCAATAGTTTAGAATCTTCACTTCATGATTTAAATACAAAGTATATTATCTCTCAGAAACAAATCCAGGAGCATATTTTAGCAATGGATGATCTGATTGATGTCAGTAAATACAATGCTGACCGTTTTGAGTCGTTGACTAAGCATTGTACATGTAATCACACAAATATATCAAATAATAATTCAGTTATAACTGTGCTGGAAAATGAAGTTCAGGGTGTTTGTGCCAGTGACTGTAACCCTAAGAGTAGCACAATGGTGTTCTCTGACAGAATAGGCTGTAACTTTGGATCTATTTTGAAGTATCATCTTAAGGGTGATTTATTAAACTACTGTATGCCAGAAGCATCATTTACACAAATAATAAATAAAATTAAATCTATAAAAATGAACAATATGACCACAGTTGTGTTATTTTTTGGTAATAGTATTCAATTAAATAGGCAGGATGTAATTAAAGGAATTGAATATTTATTACAATTAAATGTGTATAAGATTGTATTGTGCGCTTTTCCTTACACAAATAGACATCTTCATAAAAAAATTAACAGTAAGGTACATTACCTGAATAACTTATTACATATGTTGACATGTCGTCATAGTGACATTTTTACATTTTTTGATACTAATAGTGATTTTTATTTGACAAAAGATACAATGTATCTCTCTAAATCATCTAAAAATAAAATAGCCACTTTAGTGGCTTATAATATTGACTACATGAACAGTTTACATGGTAAACTTAAACATAAAAATACTGACATAACAAATAATTCTATTAATATTTGTGACATAAATACTATGACTGCAGATTTAAACTGCTCACAAAGACAAAGGGAAAGCAATCAGAATTAATAATTGTTCATCAGAACATACAAAGTTTTCCCGGCAGCGAGTTAATTATACAATTATTTTTAGAAAAGTATAATATTGATATTGTCTGTTTCACAGAACATTGGCTTAAAGAGAGCAATATGATGTTCAATTTAAATAATTATAACGTTGTCAGCTGCTTCAATAGAAAGTCAGTTAACAGAGGCGGGTCTATGATAATTGCAAGAAATAATATTAAAGTAAAGGAACGTGCTGACATTGTTAGACTTTCTATTGAGTGTTGTATAGAATTATCTTGTATAGAACTAGAAAATTATATCCTTATATGTGTGTACAGGCCTCCTAATAGTGATTACAATGTTTTTGAAGGGGTGATGGAGGATATTTTAAAAAAAATATTTAATAGTCTTAAAAAAATTATTGTATGTGGAGATTTTAACGTTGATATTCTTTGTAACACACCCACATGTACAAAAATTATTAGTTTATTTCAGTCATTTGATTTAAGTCATGTCTTTCATGAACCCACTCGTGTAACTGCCACGTCTGCTACTTGTCTTGACAATGTTTTTTGTAACTGTGAGTATACAGAAAAATTCATAATAAATAAACTTCCTTCAGATCACTGTGGTCAAGTTGTTAAGTTTAACAGTCAGATCAATAAAGTCAACAATAATAAAAAATCAAAAAGACAAATAAATGTTTACAATATTAACAAATACAAAAGCGCGATTAAAAATAAATTGGATTTGCTGTTACAATATAGTAATAATCCTGATTATCTTTACACCAAGCTAATTACTATTCTATCAGGAGGATATGAACAATTTTTCAAGAAAAAAGAAGTTTATGTTAAATCTAAATTCACGGAATGGGCAACAGTAGGTATACTTAAAAGTAGAAATATTTTGTTTGATTTATACGATCAAAAAAAATATCGATTTGATGACAAATTCACCACTTATGTGAAAAATTATTCAAAAATTTTTAAAAAAGTTTGTATTACGGCTAAATCTAATTATATTAATAAACAAATTAACCAGTCTTCTGACAAAATTAAAACCATCTGGGGCATTATAAATAAAGAAACCGGAAGATCTAAATTAGCCTATAATCAATTTGCATTAAATTATGATAATAAATTAATAACAGCAACAAAAGATGTAGTTAATGTTTTTGAAGATTTTTTTGCTAATATTCCGATTAATATTACATCTTCTCTGGACTCATCTCCATCTCGAGCAAAAATATTACTAGAGTCTAATATCGGTTGTTGTTCTTTAAGATTTAAATTTTCACATGTTAGCCCCGTTCATATCATAAAAATATTCAAACATCTAAATTTAAAAAATACAGAAGACCTTTGGGGCATGTCTGTAAAAGTGGTTAGTTCTTTCATAGATATTGTTGCTCCATATCTAGCTACTATTTTTAATAAATGTATTGATAATGGGACTTTTCCACAATTAATGAAATTTAGCAAATTAATCCCACTATTTAAATCAGGAGATAAATTTGAGCCAGGGAACATAGACCTATATCTATTTTGCCAGTTCTAAGTAAGGTGTTTGAAAAGATAATGTTAAATCAAATGTTACAACACTTCAGGGATAACCGACTGCTTCACAGTCAACAATATGGTTTCACCGCCGGCAAGTCTACCACTGACGCAGGTGTAGCGCTGATAACACATATTTTCCAATCATGGGAGAAGTCACAGGATGCACTCGGAGTTTTTTGTGACCTATCAAAGGCATTTGATTGCGTGGATCATAAAACACTTTTGTACAAGCTCGAACATTATGGTATAAAAGATAATGATCTAAAATTAATGAGAACTTATTTAGAGGATAGGGTCCAAACTGTAGATATTGACGGTATAAAATCTAAGGGAGCTAATATTGGAATGGGCGTTCCACAAGGGTCAATCTTAGGCCCCTTTCTCTTTTAATTTACATAAATGACCTTCCCTTTATGGTAGAGAAAATTGCAGATATAGTGCTGTTTGCGGATGATACTTCGTTAGTGTTTAAAATTGGACGTCAAACTAATCAATTAGACGATGTAAATTGTGCTATGTCTGCTATATTAAATTGGTTTACATGTAATAACCTATTATTAAATTCCAGCAAAACAAAGTGTATAAAATTTACACTTCCTAATGTAAGACCAATAAATACACAGTTATTGCTTAATGACGAAATAGTAAATTTTGTTAATGATACAGTTTTTTTAGGTATAACAGTGGACTCGAAATTACAATGGGGGCCCCATATTTCAAAATTGGCCAATAGACTCAGTTCAGCTGCATATGCAATTAGAAGAATTAGGCAATTAACAGACGTGGCGACGGCTAAACTTGTATACTTTAGTTATTTCCATAGCATTATGTCATATGGTATACTACTATGGGGTAAAGCAGCCGATATAAATACTATATTTATTTTACAAAAGAGAGCCATACGTTCTATTTATGGTATGGGTTCAAGAGAGTCATTACGTCAGTGTTTTAAAGATTCAAATATCCTCACCGTTACTTCACAATAAATTTATGAGAATATCATGTATACACGGAAGAATTTAGACAGTTTTAGAAAACTTAAAGACTGTACAAATAGAAGCTTACGCAATAAAAATAAGCTAATTTTACCTAAATGCCGCCTGCATAAAGTCAGTAATTCATTCTATGGTAATTGCGTAAGATTTTATAATAAACTGCCAGAATCTGCACTAAATCTGACAGAGAGGCAATTCAAATCTTATATTAAACAATTTTTATGTAAGAAAGCCTATTACAGGATAGACGAATTCATAGAAGACAACATATCAAGTAAATAATTAGTTTATTAGCATACAACGTTATAATTTGTTTATCTCATTGCTTTCTTGATTCAATTATTTTAGAAATATGAAAGCGTAGCGGGTTTTGTATTAATTGCCGCATGCATTCTTATGTGAAATGTGAATACTATAAACATCAGATGGCAATTGTGAGTAGTTATGACGTGGTCTGGTGTTTTGAGTAGTCATGCTCACTAAAATGTCCAGACTTGTGGCGGCGTGGTGGGCCGGGTCATTGGGCTCCCTAAAATATGGTCGAGCGCAGTGATGGCTGGCTCATCCGTCATACTCGTGAACGGGTGCTGCTTGTAGGGACTGGTCTGCTCTAATCACTATGACTGATTTCCTCTTATTAATTGTTTAACCAGTTGGTTATGTATTCAATATTTTTTTCTTTTTTTTTGTTTTTGAGTATTTAATTGAATTAGTGCTAATCGGTGGTTTGTATTCACACACTTAAACTTAAATTGTAAGTAAGAATAAATTATTTAAAAGAGCAACACACAAGTTTCTTGCTTGTTCTTCTTGTGATGAGACAGCATTCCGAATGAGCGGTAGATTAAAAAAAAAAAAAAAATATGACTATTCAAAAGTGCTTCAATGTAAGTTTATTTGAATAAATGATTTTCTATTCTATTCTATTCTATTCTATTTTGTAATTTTAATAATAAACTAATAAACGGTAACCGTCGCCAATTAAATGAATATCACTATGGCTTTTACGTGATATTCATGATAGCCCTTATGAATCGCCGTTCCATAGGGCTATCTTAGTCCTATGAAACGGTAACGTCAACTGCTACATGTCTTATTAGTAACGCGGAGTCGTAACGTGTACTGACTTCTACACTGAACTGATATTTAAGTTATGTGGAGAGGTAAATTTATGGAAGGGTGCCGAGTGTTGATTGAAATATTACAAGTTTACATATTAGGTATGTGGTAACGATGATGTGGTATACGTGTGATACAGCGGTGCGCACGGTGGTGGTGCAGCAGGGCGCGCCGTGGGGCGAGGTGCAGCTGGAGCGCAGCATGATGCCGCTCAAGTGGTACTACGACCTCTGCTGCGAGATGGCGCAGTTCAGCTATGCCTTCGGACCCTGCTGGGAGCCCGTCATCGCACACTGCAACCTCGGTCAGTTACTTACTCTTGTTTATTTCAATAATTACTTAGATATTTTTTATAGAAGTGAATGTGCCCACATTCCACCATATGGTAAACGTCAGTATGCTAGTGATTAGAATTTAGACTGTCTATAACTACGTCATGTTACGCTCTGTTCAAAAGCTCAAGTAGTCTAGAAAAGAGAAATGACATAATTATGATAGTCAGAGATTGTAGCTTGTACTTCGTATTATGAGTAAAGTATCAAATTTATTACATATGTGAGACATTCAAATTAAATATTTATTTTTCTATCCAATAGCATTTGATCAAGTTTCCCGGCCTTCGTTAGACCCATCCGCGCCACTCGCGTGGTGGGACAAGGTACGACTTTTGATGCACGGCCGTCTCACCGCCAACTGTGCTCGATTTACTTGTCTCCTACACGTGTCACTCGACCCCTACAACACGACCGAAGAGATGGAGGTGACCTGGACTGATCTCGTACTGGATTGGACTAATGGTGCGTATATCTTGGTTTTTATATCATTTGTACATCGAATTTAGCATTACAGATTCATTTTTGTATAGGTAATGTATTTGTTTTAAGTAGGGGTCAAATATCGAACCCTGCGATACACCCCAGTTATTTTTAATGGAATGAAAATGTGTACTTTATTAAATGACATTATGATGATAGAATATAAAAACATTGCGTATGAGCTAGATAAGTGTGGTGCAATGGTGCAGGTCGGATCGGGTTCCTGGGCGAGCTGAACGTGTTCGTGCGCACGGCGAGCAAGTACGACGACTGCCGCGTGCTGGCGCTGCCGGCGCTGCGGCTGGCGCTGAAGCTGGGCTGGCAGTGCGTGGGCGACCCCCGCGACCACCGCGCCGCCGCCCCCTGCGCGCCCACCAGGCTGCCCGAGTACTCCAGCAACCAGGTATATATACATACAAGTACGACGCTGCGGCTGGCGCTGAAGCTGGGCTGGCAGTGCGTGGGCGACCCCCGCGACCACCGCGCCGCCGCCCCCTGCGCGCCCACCAGGCTGCCCGAGTACTCCAGCAACCAGGTATATATACATACAAGTACGACGCTGCGGCTGGCGCTGAAGCTGGGCTGGCAGTGCGTGGGCGACCCCCGCGACCACCGCGCCGCCGCCCCCTGCGCGCCCACCAGGCTGCCCGAGTACTCCAGCAACCAGGTATATATACATACAAGTACGACGCTGCGGCTGGCGCTGAAGCTGGGCTGGCAGTCCGTGAAGCCTGAAAAATATAATTATTGCAAAGTTACATATCAGAACACCATATATATATATATAAATATATACGCACACGAAATATTTAAGGCGGGAGTTGGCCTTCAGCCGCTCTAAAAATTTATCCGCGCGTTTTGGAGTGCCATTTGCACTCGCCCTTATTTTTTGGTGAAGCTGTAAAGGCCAGCTGCAGCCCACAGCATTAGAGTAGACCGAAAAAAAAGTCCCTGACGGCCACTAGTGTAATCATATTGTAACTATTATAATGTATTGACAGGAGCACGATTCGTACCGGGCGTTCCGCTCCCAGGGCTTGGACATACATGTGAGTATGGACACCAAGCCGATCGATGGAGAGGGACCAGTACTGCTATTGTATGGGAGTACGCTGAGGTGATGTATCATTTTATTGCATTGAGTTTTAAATAAGAATATTTGACTTTGAACTAATCTAAGTAAGCAATTCCTTTCATCTGCGTTAAATTGGTTTCTTTAAGTTATTTAATTTAATTATTGTTATGTAGCAAATCGTATTGATATATAGATTTAAATAATTTAACACATATACAAGAAAATGATTGTATGTTGTTTATATGGGTGGTGTTGCGTTACCAGATGGTTCGAGAGCCTGAAGCTGATCCTGTCGGGGGTGACGCGTCCGACGCGGCGCGGGCGCGTGTTCCAGAACGTGCGCCCGCGCAAGCCGCAGCTGTCGCGCCACTACCGCAACGTCAGCGTCGCGCTCACGCTGCACAACCTACAGGTCCCGCCTCCTTCTTTACTTACACCTGCCATTGTGCTCCACATAATCTTATATCCCATTTATTGTGTGTTAATTCGAATCTAAGGATTAACTTCAAATGTCAACTTGTACATTTGTTTAAAAGAGCAACTGGCCAGTTTCCTGCTCATTCTTCTAATCTGAATCTGTATTCTGAAAGAGTGCTTAAATTTCTGTTTATTTGAAAATTTGTCTACAAATTTAACTAATGAACGACAATTTTTTGTAAAAATAAGTTCGGTGTTAGCAAGAATCAATCCACCACCGTTATTGTTGCGATTTTTTACAGGTGTTTTACTGGTCCTCATCGTCTATGCAACGCGGCATCGAGATGCTCGGGGTCCGAGTCACGTGCGGCTCCAAGCATCGACTCTCACTCGTCGCCGCTAACGACGGCCTGGTGCGGAGACCGCGGGCTAACTGGACGACTGTGTATATGAATTGCGATCTTAACGACGCGGAAATATGGCTCAAAACCGCGGCAGCTGTGTCTCAAGACAAGGACGGTGATGAGGTATGTTGTATCTTATTAGATATGGAAATTGTAGATGCAATCTACAATTTCTAAATGGTCCATAAACATCTCAAATGCATAGATTATAATATCTAACATTTGAAATGATACTGGGTTGTCTCAGGGCTTGATTCTGGGACCAGGATACAGGTGTGCGAATGCGGGTGTGGTATTTGATTGCAGGCGGGCGCGCGCGGCGACTGCACCGGGCCGGCCATGGAGAAGTGCTACTGTCTGTCCGTGCGCCGCGTGTCGTACGGACGCGAGGGGGCGGCGGGGGGCGCGGGGGCAGCGGGGGGAGCGGGCGCAGCCCCCACTCACAGGCTCACCGTGCACGACCTGCGCGGCGCCTGGACCAAGCTCAACCGGGACATTGCCTTCGCGCTCGTTGACACCTACATCAAGACGCAGGTCAGACATCCTGCATGTACACACTGAACAAGACACACACTTATACATACACTATTACTTTTATTCTTATTATCTTTATATTATTCTCCATTTAGCATAGAGAAAACCTTCATAGAGACTAGGCGGTCATGCCATTACATATGTTTTTTTTATGTAAATGGAAAACAAGCACACTGTTAACAGGATTATAAGATACAATCATCGTTTATATACATCAATAGCACTACGGGCATCATATCGCGGTACCATTTAGAATGACTTAAAGTACCTCAATTTTCAGTACCATATGTCACTTTCAATTGGAACACAACTTAGTTACCAAATTGTTTTACGGATGAAATAAGTCTGAACGAGGTATCCACACAAATGGCCTTATATAAAATCTACCTCGGTCTATTATATGAAATATTTTAAAATATTATATAAGATTGAATTAATATTTATAGACTGACAAAATAAATTCTTTTACAGCAATTGAAGAAGAACCTGTCTACAAAAGCTTTGAAAGAAGAGGAGAATCCAGCAACATCGCCAAAGCATCAGCGGGAGGCTGACGTTGTATCGCCACCTCCCAATGCCAGCGCACAGGTAACTTTGTTCGTCATTACTCTCGTACATGCTGGTACTTATAAATAGTAGAGTAGTACCAAAATACAACATATTTTAAATAAGTATTCTTATGGTAGCCTGTAAAAGCCGTAATTTTTTCACGATCTAACTTTTGGTGAAGACAAAAGTACGCTGGTGCGTAATTTGTGTATAAAAGCTGCATTAAATATAACTATATCCGGCTCGAAGGATCAAAAACATGTGGCTGGATCGCTGCATGGAGTGTAAGGGTCTGGGTGTTTGTACAGGGTGGAGCGGGCGCGGGCGCGGGCGGGTCGGGCATGCTGGCGGCGCTGGTGGCGGAGGCGGGCGGCGAGGCGCCGGTGGTGTTCAGCGACGAGCTGGCCGGCGACCAGGGCGCGCCGCCGCCGCTCGCGCCGCACGCGCCGCACGCCCGACACCTCTTCGACGACGACGCCGCGCACACCGCCTGCCTCAGTCAGTCTATCTCTCTCTCACTTTGCATCTTTGTCATTTTCTATCTCCCTCGTGCACTTTTCGTTGTACACTCAAAGTCAAATTCAAAATTATTAATAGGATCTTTCGGCCTATTGTGCACGTCATATTTTTAGTCCTGAATATGATAGTAACATTTAATGATATAAGAGTTCTCTGGCTAGCATAACAGCTTTGTTAAGTTATAACATCTTAAGTTTATTAAGTGTGTGTGTGCGGAATATAATAAATACAAGTATTAGTCGGAATATAATAAAAAATAATACTGAAAAAGAACGTTAATTGGTCGTTGGAGTTCAATGGATGGTGTGTGTGTGCAGTCGAGCTGGTGAACTCGCAAGTGGTGCTGAAGGGGTGCGAGACGCGCGGGTACGTGGTGGTGTGTGCGGCGCGCGCGGAGGTGCGGCAACGAGTGCGGGCGGGCGGCGGCGGCTGGCGCGGCTGGTGCGGCGCGCTGTCCGCCATGCGCTACTACGCCACCGTCAGCGCGCGCGACGCCGACCACCTCGACGGTGAGTACTGCTGGTGGATATAACTGTTAGGAGAGAATACGTTGTACTGAGGATGAAGGGGAGGCTCCGGTGTATTACACGGGCCTAGTATCTTCGGATGAGTATTTTAGGCAGCTGCAGGAGTTCACGCGTCAGTGGTACCGGAAATGAAGCGAGTACGAGAGGACGAAAGTGGCACTCGCTCAAATAGAGGAGACGCTGCCCCATTTCACTTTGTATTAAAGTTTTATTTTTTTATTAACCGAATATTTTCTAAAGACACGTTTATGATTTATCAATTATCAATAACTTTGTAATTATATCTTTGCTCCATTATTAGATGTCCACTATTTTGCAATGATTTTGTATAAAAAGCCTCAAAAGCTCGCACGATTGAAGAACGCGGGAAGGCGTGCGCACTCTCTCCCGTTCACTTTGTTTACATTTACATGCATACTCTTTCACGCGTAAAAACAGATTCGCACGCGAAACGAGTACGTTTAAAGGCCGCTAATGGGTGTTTGTCTGTGTGCGCGCAGAGAACATCCAATGGGTGTCGGTGGAGGAGATCGAGGAGCGGTGGGCGGGCGCGCTGGGCATGGCGGCGCTGGTGGCGGGGCGGGCGGGGCGGTCGGTGGGCGCGGGGGCGGGCGGGCCGCAGCTGCAGCGCGTGGTGTCCCGCTGCAGCTGCGAGTTCTACTTCCTGACGCACGACGCGCGCGCGCACGCCTGGCCGCCGCACCACCAGCCCTACGACTCCTTCACGCTCATGCACCACGACCTCGACGTCTGCACCAACTCGCTACAGGTACCTCCATGGAATGTGTACTATACATTACTCTATACCATACTTTTTTTTATACTACAATAGTGGCAAACAAGCATACGGCATACATCTGATTGTAAACCATAACCGTAGCGTATGGACGACTGAAATACCAGGAGTCTGATACTCCTATTATTTGAGTTGTATGCGTTGCCGACCCTTAAGAATCTTTAATATATCCTTCTTGAAAACCCCATGCGAGAAAGAGAGATTCGTGTTTATGTTCAGCAGGTAGTTCATTCCACAATCTAAAGCTCTAGCGAACGGTGCGATAAAAACCAGCCGTAGGCATCATTTCGAAGAATTCTTCAGAGCAGAATACCGCATTACGCTGCAAATGAATCAACTTAAACACGTTTTTGTGTTCGAGTAGTGTGTGGTCAGTAGTAGTAATTTTGCTTTCCCTCGTCATACAGACGTTATAATAATTATTCGTACGCTGTTAATATAACACAAACAGATGCTTTTCCCCACATAGTAAGCGAACAAACGTTTTTACGTTTTTAATATAGTTTTCCTTCATCAGTACCACTTAGCAAGTGCTCCTAGTGTAATATGAACAGTATATAACTGTACGCGGTGTGTGGTCATGTGGTGTCAGTACGCGATGGTGCTGGACGTAGTGAACAACGTGGTGCTGCACGTGGAGCCGGAGCGGCGCCGCACGCAGGACCGCCGCGTGCGCACGCGCTTCCAGATGCGGCTGCGGGAGGACCCCGACCCCACCCATCTCATACACAAGCTGCAGACGCAGGTCACACACACCTACTACTTCATACCCATTATGTACATATTAGCTAACCCCACAGACGGTGGCCTGTTTTAACTTTGAATATATATAATAACAAACACAACATAAAAGAATTTGCGAGATCGGACCGACCGTTCACGGGTGATGCCGTTACTAAGGGAAATAGATATTTCTTTTGTATATAGATATTTGAACCTTATACTCTGGTCATAAAACAAATTAGTATTTACGGTGTGTATTTCGGTGAAAACATTACAAAACATGTAATATTTCCACATTTAAATTCACAAAACCATGTTCCATATGTCTTTGACTCTGTTCTAAACTAAAATGTTTTATACGTTTATGAACAACTTTGGTAATACGATGTTATGAATTGGATTTGTTTCAAATAGGCTAGAGAGTCATTAGCGCGGCTTCGTCGGCTCGAAAAGGAGTATTACTTGAAGAACCGTTCCATCACCGGCGACGATCCTGTAGCTATCGAGGAACTGAAGAGTCTCGACGATCAGGTAAGACTTCATGATGACGCCAAATTATGGTGTCGATGAGGTTTCAATTGCATTTTATTATCTTAAAAGTTAATGAGAGCGTATCAATGTCGGTAGAGAATGAGTGTGTGTATGTTCGCCGGGCGAGGAGCGGCCGCGTCACGAGCGGTGCGTGTGTGTGCAGGTGAACGAGTGCAAGGAGAGCGTGTGGTCGCTGGGCGAGGAGCGGCCGCGTCACGAGCGGTGCGTGTGTGTGCGCAGGTGAACGAGTGCAAGGAGAGCGTGTGGTCGCTGGGCGAGGAGCGGCCGCGTCACGAGCGGTGCGTGTGTGTGCAGGTGAACGAGTGCAAGGAGAGCGTGTGGTCGCTGGGCGAGGAGCGGCCGCGTCACGAGCGGTGCGTGTGTGTGCAGGTGAACGAGTGCAAGGAGAGCGTGTGGTCGCTGGGCGAGGAGCTGGACGCGATGGTGCGGGCATGGCGGGAGGCGCGGGGCGCGGCGGCGACCCCCGCGCCCCGCGTGCCGCACGCGCCGCCGCCGCGCTACAACGAGATCTGCTTCAAGTCCGCGCGCTGGCGACTCACCGACGCCGACGGACAGCTCGGCATCGCTGACCTGCTGCTCACCAATTTCCTGTGAGTTCACGTTGTGTTTCTAATAGCATTTAAAATATACGTCGTATATAAGATATATTTGAAATTCGAATTATTTTTTCTTTGTAGAATATATTTGAATATGGAATGGTTTATTTGAAAATAAAATTATTTTTCTTTATAGAACATATTTGAATTTAGAATGGTTTTCATTTTTATTTTTGTTTTCTTTATAACTAATAAGCTTAAGCAATCAGTAAGTGCGGTTTTATTTAATTTCCTACAGTCAATTTTTAAGTCTATTCTGTGTGTTTCTGTCGATTGATATTGCAATTGTTTAATCAAATTCTCTTTAGTCATATATTGCTATTTGTGTAATAATAATTTATAAAATTATAATTCATAATGAAAATAGTTTTTTATGTATACCAGGTATACTAAGACATCAAGGTCGGACGATATGGTAGAGCATCAGTTGGAAGTGGGCTACATGCGTGTCACCAATCTATTACCGAACGAACCGTTCCCAGAGGCAAGTACTACTCTCAGTATTATTTACATTAATATAGTAAATTACGTAGGTCGTAACTTCGAAAAAATTGTTTGTTGTGACTAATATATAGAGACAATTATAATCGACTCAAGTCCGTAGCAAATTCGTTGGATGGAACTAGATTATTTTTTAAATGAATGATGATGAATTTATACAACTCAATTAATATTGCTGGCGGGACATCAGTGAAAGATGTGATGAGTATGATTAGTCAAGTACATTGACTTCGTGGTGAATTCACCTAGAATTTGAGCATGACAGCACTTAGGAATTCCTGCTAATAGTAATATAATAATAATGACTATCCACATAGGGTCGTCTGGTCTCAACCTAAGTAGAGCTTGTGTTATGGGTACTAGACAACTGATATAGATACTATATACATTTTTATATCAAATGCATTTATGCTATACATAGAAAATGTGCTATATCTAGATCATTTGAAATACACCGTACAAGAAATCGTACCTATGACCATCGGAATGTAAGGCTAAACCAATGAAGCCGATGACGTACCCTACATTACTAGCATTGTTGCACCAACTCTTCCAGTAAAAATCGTGTGGTGTACGGAGTCAATTAACTTATGTGATTATCCGGTACATATAGTGATGGTTATGAGGATGGTGACGGTGATGGTGATGATGGCGATGATGGTGATGGTGACGTTGATGATGATGCAGGTGCTGGTGCCGGCGGCGCCGTCGGGCCGGGCAGCACTGGCTCGCCGCGCGGCGCTGCGCGTGTTCTGCCGCGACCGACCGCCCGTCGGCGGCATCGCCGTCAAGGAACACTTCGAAGTCAACATCGTGCCCATCAAGATAGGTACGACACAATGTTACTTGTCGTGATATCACATCTAGATCTTGTACAGCAATATATATGGAGTCTTTATCATAAGTGTTGGAAACTGACCGCCCCAATCTTTTTGATTTTTTAAATTTATATTTTTAGAACAGTTTTCTTATAACATGTTTTTGATTTGTTGTCTTTTTGTGTCTTATTGAACTATCGTAGCTCGCAGCTGCAATGTATTATGTTTTATATACATCCAAATCTACGTGTTTTGATCATTTAGACACAAATACAGTCCATTAGTATAATACAGTGGCACAGTTGTAATAAGTATCGAACTAAAAGAACTGTATTTAGGTCTTAATCTGAAAATGTAGTTTCCAAAAGAGATGTTCCGTTAATAAATATCTTTTATAGCATTATTAAAATTCTTCCAAGGTCTAACCAAAAAGTTCTTCAACACAATGCTGAAGTTCTGTTTCCCTGAACGAGACCCTGACTCCATCGAAGATGGCGAGGACGAGGATGGTGCCCTAAAAGCTGGTACATCGAGTAACACACTCGTCTCCACCGGGTCAAAGAAGGTCAAGAAGAAGAACAAGGACTCCAACTCTAACTTCTACGTGAAAAGAGACATGAAGGACAAAGATGATGTCGAGAAGATGAAGGTAAGAGACAAAATGAGAGATAGATATATTAATCTTTATATCAACACTTAATACAGATATTAAAAATATATTCAGATTACAAAAACATGCCATTCGAGCGATCTACTGTATGAAGAGTCGTGACTCATTAAGGCGACGCCGTGATAAACTATTACTTCAAAATCGGGCCCCGCGCTCTGCGCACCTCATGCACCCCGATAGTTTTACGTATCGCCGATCGACCGCCAGCGCTCGCTCGCTCTCCCCGTACCACGATATCACGAACACGCATCCGTGTCGCAATGTAACGCGTGAATCAAGTAGACGAAGCTTCGGTCCCCAATTGAACAAAACTATTACGGAGTCTTCCTGTTTGTTTATATAATTTATATTTATGAAGGCACATTGATATTTTAGAATTTACAATACAGTGGAACTAACTACGATACGAATTAATTATAAAGATTCTTAAAGTAAAGAATTAAATAGAAATATTGAGGTAGAGTTACATATTCCCGTAACGTAAACTAGTGCTTTTATTACTATCTTTGAAAGAAACACCAAAAAAATAATCTTTGTGTTTTTCGTATATATTGTAATTGGTAATTACGACGTTTATTTATTTGCCAACGACATTTTTTTGAAACAGCTAGATATTTTAATGTATACTACATTAACGTACTTACGTTAAATGAAATGTGAAAATATACGAAGGTTAGTTACTTTATAAAAGAGACAGTAAGTCTGCGTTTCTGTGAATGATAGGTATATCAATTAAAAAATCTATATATATTATATATTTGATACAATAAACCTAAATTTAGTAATATTGTATGTAACTTTAATTTTATTTATTTGATACGCGTAGTGGACATTATTTCTTTATGTTTTAGAAAGTATACTTTTAAAAATGCGTAAGTAATTTAACATTATATGTAAGTAAAGTACGTAAAGATATACACTTTATGACAAAATAGTAAAACTTTTACAGTAATTTATAAATTATTATAATAAATATTAAGTTTTAATTACATGTAAAAAGGACGTGAACAATTACAACCTAATCATAAAAGATCTATTAACTTCATACAAATGAAATTATTGAATAATTATAGGTTTGAACATGATTATTTATATTTTTATGCATAATTTAAATAAAAAAATATGACTATTCTGCAAACCTTCTCTATATAAACTATAAGTACGCGAAATTTCATATTCATCCGTCCGCGCTGTTTTTCGTAAACCGGATACAAAGTTATTACTTCACGTATTAATACATACGTTTTAATAAATTTATATAATACTTTTCATTATTTCACTTTTTTATTTATTTATTTCCTTGGACCTACCAAGGAATCTTAATTTTACGGCAAAACAATAAAGATGGATAGTGTGTTTGCCATGAGTGAGCGAGACAGATATGACGCCACTTTTATCAAAGTCAACAAAAGTAAGTAAAATAATTAAAATAAAGAAAAATCTTAACCTAGTTTAGGTTTATTTAAATAAGGATAATATTGAGGAAGAAAAGTTTGAACTCGTTGTACGTGAAACGGATGCATTTCGGGTCTTTGTAAAATACGATGTGCTGTGCTATTACAATAAGAAAGAACGGGAAACGTTGATGAAAAAAAAAAAAAGAAAAAAGAAGAAAAGTATTTTCGTTTGTGTACAAACGAAAATATTTTGGTCATCTGCGACCTTTTGCAACACTTCTTCCTAATAAGGAAAGCGAGTTCTACCTCCAGCCCGTATTTGATTCGGGAAATGGCCGCCCTCCGTGAGTGCGGCCGGTACATCTGGATAGATAAGCAGTGATCTGGATAGCGCTCTAAATTTGGATATCTTTCACGATAAAGCCTAGCGGCAGCAATTGCATTGCATTTGCATTCCTCATAAATGAGGTGCTTGTTCGCAATTTTTTGTGAAGTAAATAACAAGGATACCAACACAAAAGTCCAAAGTCCAAAAGAGACAACCCAAAGTTGTCGGTATGGAATCAACAAGTTCAATTCACAAAAATCCAAGTCCAAAAAGAGAAGCCAACAACAGCGAATATGGAAAGACGCGCAGTAGGCTGAGCTGAAGCTGAAACAGAATGAGCAAAATGTACTAACTGGTGTCAGACTTTAGCCATTTTTTTAAATTTTTCATTCGCGCGCGTTTAAACGACGTTTCTCTCTCATAACATCTGTCTCGCTCGCTCACGACAACATGTCCATACCCATTTCTCTTATCATTGTGCCGTAAAATTAAGAACCTACTACTATAAGCTTGTGTGAATAAGAAACATTTGAACGGAGTTTATATACAGAAAAAATCGGATACTTGAGGTTTTTTTCTCGTTTTTTTTAGACAACAAGTATTGTACATTTACAATCATTAAATGTCCGAACTTTTAATGGCACTTGCCAAGGCACTTTAGTACATTTTTTTAAAAGAGTTTCAAACTCTACAATTTATGAAAATTTTAAATGTATTTAACAAATAGTCTTAATTCTAGAAAACTTGGAGCAATTGTGTCATTATTTTTTACTGTGATTCTAGAAATGTTATTTGGCTTTATGGTTCCAAAGTTTAAATGAATAAAAATAATAAAAATTAAGCACAATGACCGAATAATGGTTATAGTTTGACCAAATTTCTAAGTTTTTCTTTAATGCTCAATTTTCAAACTGCATGGGATAGATTTTTTTCTGATTTTTCTCATGATGGTTACAATCAATTCTCTCACTGCTTGAAATTGAGTTCTGGGACAGCCTGTATAGTATAATCGAAGGCAAATATTTCACCATTACTTTGTTTTGCTTTCCATAGCTACAAAGACAACACCTAGACTTACTACAGATAAAAAGTACTTATCGGAGAAAATAAAGTTGAAAATATGTCACAATTTTTTATGTGATACTCCAACATATAGTCGGACAGACAATGATTAATTAAATAATATTTTTGTGAAATTATTGACAATCAATAAGTTTTTTGATTACACTAAATATGAGTAACATTGAGATAAAAAATACTTTATTTTGGATTCAATATTATATATTATTAGTATTAAATAGTGTAAAAAATGTAAAAAGGGTAACTAAATGATTACATTACTTGAAATAGTAAAAGAATTAAGTTACAGCAATATTTAAGAGTATAAATTCATAGACGACTCCACGATTTTACTTTGTTATAATGAGTCAGTCGATTTTTTCTTTGGGTGTAGGGTTGTCACTTCCTAATAGCCGGACAGACCATATATTGGCAACATATTGGTAAAAAGGCCGGATACATACAACAATATCATGTAAATATTTATTACAAATAAATTACATTACATTACAAATAATTTTGTTAATTATTATTAATAAGTGTTACTTTAGGTTCGATCCGTCAAAATATTTAAAATTTAAATTGGCCCGTTGATAAAAAAGGTTGTTCACCCCTGTTCTAGATAAACAGTTATCAACATTTTAAAATTCTTCTTAACGTCTAATGAAAGGTAATTGCATAAATAAGTATTATTTACCTGTAACTGTTACTTCAGCAACTAACGAAATAAAAAAACATCTAAGCAAAACAAAACTTCTTGAGTTAAGAAATAAAAAATAAAATTAGTTTTACAATAAAATAATGTAAAAGCCTACCAAACGGCGTACAAGACTATTTATTTTAGCCAGATGCCAAAAAAAGTCCCGTCAAAATCAGTGCAACCATTTCAGAGATTAGCCGGAACAAACAGACAGACAGACAGACAAAATTGGTAAAAAATGTTATTTTGGTGTATGTAACGTATTTATATTTGTATGCATGTAGTAAATAACTGTTATTTCAATATTACCAACAAACGCTCCAATTTTATTTATATGTATAGATAATGGGAGTGCCCCATTTTTATTTATAAATAACTACGAAATCAAAATAATGTAAAATTTGTTTATATTTTCTTAACCATTTCTATACATTAATACTAAAAGTTTTTTATCATATTTAACAATTAATTGTCACTACTTTACAAATTATGACTTAGTATTACATTCGTAATATGTACGATAAATCATTACTAACTGTATTAACTTAAATACAGTAATTGTTAAATGTAAAATAAGTAACGTTCATACTATAGCGTACGCTATAATATGGTGCGGGTACATGAATAATTTACGATTTGATAGCGCGCGTTCTCAGGCGAGCTATCCGCGTATCCGACGTTGGCAGGGGCCGGGGACTGACTGACTTGCTCTAACTCTCATACAAAACAACTTGTGAGCAAGAGATTTTTATGCGGAAAAACAGTTTATCTTGTTTAAAATAAAAACTATTGGTTATTATATACATCTGAATTGTACTATTTATGTGGGTATTTAGTATAGTGTATATTGGAAAATTCGAGTCTTAAATCAGTCCCGTTTTCTTATACGAATCAAACATATATTTTATAAGACCAATCTTTGAGATTTTTTTCTCTGCTACAAAAGTTAATCAATCATGTAACGAGAACTGTCAATATGATGTCAAAGATCTGAAAAATGAAATACCTAAATATCAGCCCCGAATGATTTGTAATTGCTGAGAAAAGTTAAGGTATCTGAGGTCAATATTTGCAATGCGTCGCCTTAAGAGAGAAATTGAAAGAAGCAAATATTCTCACCGTTGCTTCTCAATTTATATATTCAAATATCCTATACGTTCATAAAAATCTTGAATTATTTCCAAAAAACAGCAATATTCGTAATATTAATACTAGATTTAAAGACAAACTTGCTGTCCCCAAGTATCGTTTAGAAAAAGTCAATAGGTTTTTTATGGGAATAGGTATAAAAATTTACATTAAGATACCAAAGGATATATTGGAATTACTCTTAAATAAATTAAAACATCTGTTAAATCATATTTACTGAGCAAGGCCTATTACTCACTAAACGATTACTTGAATGATGAGCGTGCATGGCAATAGTTTTCATGTTCGGGATTTAATGTTAGACATAGACACCTATACATTGTAAATAAACTGGCTTTTAAAAAAAAAGTAATTCGATTGAGTTTATTGCCAGTTCTTCTCAATTTGATCTATATACCGAACTGGACGGTAGGGGAAAAAAGATTATAATGTAAAAACTTGACGTTCATAAGCGGCTAAAATGTCCTACATGAATAAATGATTTTGGAATTTGAGATAGCTGTGTATTAATATGTGAAACATAAACCATGCGAGGATGGAGGAGTCTGAAATGCACACTTATAGTTTACTAGCTGTTCCCGCGACTTCGTCCGCGTGGAATTTAACTTTATTATTCTAAAATAAAAGTAGCCTAAGTTACTCCTTATTACATAAGCTATCTGCCAAAAAAAGTCCCGTCAAAAACAAACAATCCGACAGACAGACAGACAGACAAAAATTATAAAAAATGTTATTTTGATATATGTACCGTATATATGTATATTCATATGCATGTATTAAAAAACGGTTATTTCAATATTACAAACAGACACTCCAATTTTATTTATGTATGCTTAATTTTTAAAACTACGCAACGGATTTTGACGCGGTTTTTTTAATAGATAGAGTGATTTTGAAGGTTTATATACCAATATAATACGTGCGAAGCCGGGGCGAGTAGCTAGTGTATAATAACACTATAAACGGAAAGAACGAATTTTGATAGTTTGTATGTGGATGACAATCTCCAGAATAACTGCATATACTTGAATATTTGTTTAGATATTTCAAAAGAACATTATTTATAATAACTTACATATTATGTTCTAATACAAAAATATTTGTTTTTTAATTGTAAAAGAAAGACTTAAAAAAAACATAATATATGTTAAACTTATTTCAGCTATTGAAAGTTACATCATCATTACATAGTATAAAACAAAGTCGCTGTCGCTGCCCCTCTCTATTACGCAATGGATTTTGAAGCGTTTTTTTAAATAGATAGAGTGATTCAAGTGGAAGAGAGGTTTATATGTATAATAGACGTAGACCCGTGCGAAGTCGGCGTGTGTAGCTAGTTATCAAATAAAAAATAAGCGATCACTATAATAAATGTGTGTGAGATGGCAGAGCGTTTGTGTTTCTATATTTATCAGACATTAAACAGTTGTATATATTTTTTATTTTATTTTTTATTAATAAATAATAACTTAATAACTTCTTTATTTCTTTCACATATTTTTACAAATAATTTATGAAGTCCCTGACTTCTGAGGTAGGTATAGAAAATACCTGTGTTCCAGAAGTCAGTGACCTCTTCCATATAGAGGTGTACTTTAAGTGAGTTTGTTATGATATTTTACAGTTTAAGTAGGTTGGTGTAATCGTATCGTATATATATCAATGTACTAGTATTTTTCATGTTATACCATCTACTAAACACTTGTTTAGTTAGTGAATATGATTAGATTGTAGACTTTACATTTAGAAGATTAAACTGCAAATTATAATATTATTATGCCAACACAGATAATATTTATAGAAACTAAGGTACCGCAGCACATAAGCCTTCTGCGACGTTGGATTCTTATGAATTTATGTCATCACTGATAGTATTCATAGACACTAAGATAACACTGCAAATAAGCTGTTTAATTAACACTAGCTACTCGCCCCGGCTTCGCACGGGTGTACATCTATTATATATATGAACCTTCCTCTAGAATCACTCTATCTATTAAAAAAACCTCTACAAAAATCCGTTGCTTAGTTTTAAAGATTTAAGCATATATAGGGATGGACAGAAAGCGATTCTGTAATAGACCTACATGAATAAAGATATTTTGATTTGATTTGAAAGACTTCTAATATTGATGTGTACAACAACAGGAGCGTGCCGAGAAGAACAAACTGTTCATCTACATCAAGATACCAGAGGTCCCCGTCCGCGTCTCGTACAAGGGCAGCAAGGAGAAGAACCTGGAGGACGTGCGCGACCTGCCGTTGGTGCTGCCCACCCTCGAGTACCACAACGTCACGTGGACCTGGCTCGATCTACTGCTGGCCACCAAGACCGACACCAGGAGGTACTACGTTACTGTCACTTTATGTTAGAGAATACAATAGAAATTGTCACTGTGAGATAACTGATTTCCTCTTGCTCACTGTATCATCCTCCAAAAAATGGGGTAATTAGTCCACATTACTAACAATACCCTTCTCTTCGTTTGTGCGGGTTTTTTTTTGTTAATGATAATGGAATGATGCACCCGCCTGCACTAACGGTTTACGCTGGCGGAGCACTAATGGAGGATTGTAAAATAATAAGGCTAGGTCTCTTAGCCCATCTTGGCAAATGGCAATTTACCACAATGGTTTTCAAAGAGGACCTCGTGGAACTCAACCTGACAGTACATTGCTACCAATAAGGGGGAGAAACAGGATTGTTAGTAATATGGACTAATGAACACGTTGCTAGCAATGTACCATGTCAGGTTGTTCTTCACTCGGTCTCTCCTGTAAACCATCATGATAAATTCCCGGTCAATTTGTCAGGATGGACTACTTGACATGACCTCGTGCTTATTCTATCATCCTCCATTGGTGCCACGCTGGCGCAGGCGGGTGCACCATTCCATTATCACTAATAAAAAAATGGGGTAATTAGTCTACGTAACTAACAGACCACTTCTCTCGTTTGTGCAGGGTTATACTGTCTCAAGCTATCAGACAAAAGCTGCAGCTGCGCAGGAGTGCAGCCACCGCGCCCGAGCCTCAGGAGGAGGACAAGGCCAGGCTACTGCTGGGCGAAAGAACTGTGAGTTGTTCAAACATCGTTGTTTGTGTGTGTGAATATATTTATTTATTTATTCAAAAACAACATCATACATACATATTATTAAATAAAAGGTAGGGTAGCTAGTATATGCGCACGCATGGTTTTCTCATCATATAGATGCTAAATTTATATATTCTTTATTGCACAAATAATACATTGATAATATAATTTATAGACAATGGAGCAAAGGTTACTCTAAAACTTACTCCTAGAAAGGATCTCTTCATGGTGTTCTTATAGGTGGTATTGAGTGGATAATAATTGGTTTAGTACAAGTCTACAATAATAAAATTTAACAAAAAATATGTTTAAGACTACATACATACTAAAATAATAAATTGGAAAGTGTTTGTTTAACTGACTTTTCACGACAAAACGGTAGTACGTATGTTTTGGGATTTGACATTTAAGACTAATTATGTTTAATTACTCGCGGACAGTCAAAATACATAAAAGTGCTATAATTAGCCGTAACTAAGCTTCATTTTTCAACAAATCATATTCTCCAATAATGTACTGTATTCTTCTAGGTGACAGAGAACAAGCCACAGAAGAAAAGCACGCCCAGCGTATTCAAGTTTTCCAAATCGTAGCTTAAGTGGGACGAACGTCAATTGAATCTGAACCAAACATTAATTTACATAAGGTTACTTTTCAAATGTTTATTTATTATATTTACTAGATATTAGACTATTTGTTGTATTAGGGCCTTATTACACTATCAATGTATGTAAGATACACTTGTTATGGTTTATATGATGGACTTTTTTGCACAAAAGGTTTATAGTAAGTGTTGACTTCTAAAGGAAAAGCTATCTTAAATTTGGCTCTATAAAATATATATATATTTGAATTTCTTTATGTTCCTCAAACAGTTTTTGGATATAAAATATATATTTATTTACTGTTTGATGTACTCTAAAAGTTATTAAATTAGAGTACGCAAGAAAAGATGATATTATCTCTAAAAGAGATTGCAGCAACTAAAAATAATACAGCGTGAGACAAAAATTAATAAGAATACAGTAAAACCTCACGAAAATTTAAAATTAAGGATAACATACTGTTGATTAATTTAATATAGAACTATACGATATGTACAAACTATTAAATAAAATAATGATTTAATTCGGTTCTCGACGAAAAAAGTTTGAAGGTATCACGAAAACATACTGTTGAATTGTGAATATTTTTGAAATCGGTTGAAAATTAAACTTTCATATATCGTCCGGTGAAGCTGTAAAGGCCAGCTGCGGCAAACAGCATTAGAGTAGTCCGAGCAAAAAAATTTAGAATACACATACATTATATAGTTATTAAGACATGTGGGTCCTGCATGTTGCTTGTATTTATTTGATAGTGTAACGATCCCTTATTATTGTAATGTATACGAAGGTTGTATGTAACATCGAGTGAAGTGTCTACGAAACTAGTAAAGGTACTGAATTTATGTTAATAATAATATTATAAACGCGGAAGTTTGTAAGTATGAATGTTTGTTACTCTTTCACACAAAAAATACTGAACAGATTTTTATGCATTTAATATAGCTTATGCAGCATACATATAGACTATATTTTTTATTGAATTTACATATTGAAATGTAACAAGGGTGAAACCGCGGGCACAGCTAGTATTATGTAATAACAATAAAAACAACTCACTATAAAACTGAGCAGAGCATATATTAAGGGTATGTGAAATATATATTTTTTTGAAAATACATATTATAATAATAATAAACATAGAAAAACAGATCTATACAAATAGACATACAAATGATTATATTGTGCGGCGAGTTCGTATCCACGACCATCACAGACAACAGCATTCACAGGTGACCTTGATGTCGTTTATATATATGTAAATGTAATTATACCCACAGACAAATTTAAAACAGTATTAATGTGCGTATGATTATATATTTTTTTTTAGTGGAACATAAACATTTAGTGTAAACCATAGATTATATAATTAATAAAGGAAATTATACCGTTGAATTAAGTTACTGTTCACTCGATGTTATAACTTATTAGGGACTAATTATGATATATGTGGGAAAGAAAAGAAAGCATTATGTCGTCTCTATCGCACACTGCTGGCGTCATGCGGCCATTAAGTTGTGAACGGCGAATGAGAACAGTGGTGTGTGTTTGAGAGCAGATAAATAGGCAGACAGACAGTGAACTAAAATTTGCCTTATGTTATGTAATTAAATAAATAAACAATTAGTATTTTTATGTTTAAAAGTATTTTTTACGTATTTAATCATTATTGTATATCTAGAACAATCGATTAATATAAGCGCGGAAATTTATAGTAATTGTAAATTTATCGTTGTTTTTGCACTAAGCACTTCTTAATTTATATTTAAAAGCTTTCACTACTATACTCTGAATTTTTAAAATCAAGTATTAAAGTTTTTTTTAAGTAATCATACATAAATATGTATGATTACTTAAAAAAACTACGAACGAACTGTGCTATTAATCATACAAATTATACAATTCTCATTAAGACAGAAAAAATGCATTTAGAAATTTCTACAGCAAAATGCAAACATTTTTTATTTGTGTAAAACATGTTCAAAATTCATTTATTAGTTCTCTAAAAGAGAATTGTTTATTTGCTTTATGGAGATTAACGGTGTAATATTACGTATTACCACAGATGAGACTTATTGCGTGGAACGCGAAGCGCGGGGCGATCTTAGACATCAGATTTGCAGTCTTTATAACGATACTCCTCCAAAACGGTTTGATCGATTGAGATCAAAATTTCATAGTATACCACTCAAAAAAATTCCGATCGGTTAAGGTTGAGTTTGTAAGAATAAACGCGCTCCACTCAACATGTGTGTAAATAACACACCGGCAACACACCTTGTTATAAATATTGTAAATATTCTACGCTAGTTACTATTCTCCATCAATAGTATTGTCATTACATAGTATAAAACAAAGTCGTTGTCGCTATCTGTCCGTCCCTATGTATGCTTAAATCTTTAAAACTACGCAACGGATTTTGAAGCGGCTTTTTTTTTAATAGATATGTATAGAGGAACGATGGCGAGGCGAAACTAAACGGGACTAAATAAATTTTCATCGTGATCCAAACATAATAGTCGTTGATCTAATGTACATTACAGTGTAGCTTTAAGCCACAGATAAGATAATATTACATTCTTTAAACTAAACAGATTAAGGCATGTCGCCGACCCCTCTCCATACAAAATGTTCTACTATGAAAAAATTCTACAATAACTAATAAAACTCGATGAAATTATGTCCATACGATAAAGCAATTAATATCAACGTTCCACACTTGATTGAGATTTTCTTTAAACAAGTTTGTTTTAGAATTACACATAACGGATAAACACGTTTTTCACTTAAAAAAAGGACACATCTTTAGCATTCGTATAAACAATCCAAAAGAAATTAAAACGATTAAAATGAAATTTGGCACACAGATAGTCTAGACCAATGACTCCCAAAGTGCTCTATATCGACCCCCAGGGGTCTATCACAAACTGCAAGGGGTTAGTGTAAGTTACTACAGTTAGAAATTTACAAAAACTTAATACTAGGTAAGAATAGGCGGTCTACCCAAAACCGAAAAATATGGCAAAAAAAGTTTGGGAACCTCTGGCTAGACCCTGAGAAAGGACATAGGCTACTTTTTAACGCGAAAAAAGAGTTGCAAGGGGTTGAAAGAGGAAATGAAAGGTTGTATGGAAGTATCGTCATTTTTGAAGCTAGATACTTGAAATTTACTTTTAGGCTGTTGATTGAAAATAAATGAATATGACATCCAGTTTGTAAACATTTTACCCTTAAGAGTGTAAAATAAAATTGAGGAAGATCGTATGGCAATTCGTCATATTTGTAGCTAGAACGATGAAAATTTTTTTCTTTGGCTTTTTTGGGTTACATTATTAAATATTTAATGCTATGGTCACTATTCCCCGCGGGTGAAGTCGAAGATACTTCGGTATGGTACGTCCTTAGATTTAGAAGAATTAAAAAAAAAATGAATTAGAATGTTGTGATTATAATGTTTAGATGTTTGTGCCGAAATTCGTTGTTTATGGCAAAATTATGCATTCCCCTAATCCTAAAAATTTGGTACCAATGAAAAATAACACTATCTCATTAGTTTATAGTACCCTAGTTATTTTCATATCCGTACCACTAGCTGCAACTTTATTTTTTCAAAATATGATGACGTGGACTCCACGTAAATAAGGAATTTGTCATACAAGTTCGATCACCGTCACGTTTTTGATATTTGATATTTATTTATTCAGTAACAATTTATATTGTGTTTGAAATTATACAATTTTTGCTGCTAAGAAATTCATCAACACTGTAAAATGATTGCTCCAACAGAAAACAACGCAACCTCCTCCTAAAAAGCTTCCAATTATGTATTTTCTTTAAACTGTTGGGCAAAGAGTTGTAAAGCCTTACTGCTTGGAAACCCTCACCATGCTTCACAATATTAAGGGTAGGTTTTATAATGTTAGGGTAATCCATTCTGCGAGTATTTTCTCTTATGTCTCGATTCTCCCTGGTCTCACTACCAACAATACTTTTTACAAAATCTGTTAATAGCACCAATATGTATAAGCATGGTACAGTCAAAATTCTGTATTCTTTAAAATATTGCTTACAGGATTGCACTTGTGGTATACGGACAATAGTCCTAATAGCTCTTTTTTGTAATATAAACGCCTTATTTATATTGTATTTATAACTATTGCCCCAGAACTTTATACTATATCTAAGTTTTGATTCCACTAGAGCATAATAAACAGTCTTCAACTGATCAACAGTAAGGTCATCTCTGAGACTTCTAAGTGCATAGCATGCAGAACTGATACTATTTTCCATTGAGTTAAGTTCACGTTTCCAGTTCAAATATTCATCCAATTCAACTCCCAAAAATCTGACCGATTCAGCCAGATCAATTCTTCTACCATTTACAACAATATCTATGGTGTCCTTAACTTTCGCTGTACTTTTGAATAACAATGCATGTGTTTTGTCTATGTTAAGTATTAAATTATTCGCAGAAAACCAAGTATCGAAAATGGAAAGTAAGTGATTCGTCTTCTCAGTCAGTTCATGTAAACTTTCAGCAGAAACGATAGCATTTGTGTCATCTGCGAACATAACTACACTAGCATCATTAGTAGAATGTGTGATGAAATCTGCTAAGTCATTAATAAATAAAACAAATAAAATAGGTCCCAGAATTGAACCTTGTGGCACGCCTCGTTTTACTGTTGTCATTTTAGATGAATAAGTAACTTCGCAATTATTTTCAACATTCTTAATTTCTACGTATTGTCGTCGATTTTGCAGATAAGACTTAAATAATTTTAACTCTTGTCCTTTTATGCCATAAAATTCTAATTTTCTTAACAGGAGATCATGATCGACAGTATCAAAGACCGAAGTTAGATCCAGAAAGAGGCCTACAACTTTTTTCTTTACATTTAATTTACTCAATATGTCGTCTATCATTATACTAATTGCATTAGTCGTTCCTATATTTCTTTGGTATCCAAATTGTCTCTTATTTATAATATTGTTGTTCATCAAATGTTGCAATAGTCGCTCTTTAATTAATTTTTCAAAAATTTTAGATAACAATGGTGGCAAAGAAATAGGTCGATAGTTATTCGGATCTAATTTTGAATTCTTTTTATGTACTGGTATTACTTTGGATATTTTCAACTGATCAGGAAAAACACCTTCGTCTAGACACATATTAAAAAAGTATGCTAAAGGCAGTGCTATTAAAGTTTAATATGACAAGTTCATAATAATATCAGGTTTCACTTTGTTTTTCAGTTAAAATTGTTCAGTTTCGTGATTCTACACTTGTCTTGGTATATATTGTTTACGAGCTACCATATACCGATATATTGTGATACTGTTGATCTCATAAATTAGAAATGTCTCCTAAACGAGAGGGGTTAAATTTAAACAGACGTAATTTTTTTTTGTTGTTTCAATTATATTAATTTATTGCCGGTTTTTTAATACATGATAATGTAATTGTACATCTAACTTCGCTAACGGTATACGCTGAGGCACTAGTGGAGGATAGGATTACGATTTAGTCAAGTCGGTGAGTTCAAAATGGCGAATTCACTAGGAATTGACCACGGTACCAGGAGTACCTAGAGGTTAGCTTGACATGACACTTTGCTATATATAGGCTACGTGTTCCCGTGACCAATAATCCCCTCCCAATTTACCATACCATTAAATAATACTTGAATGGTATTATAGTATACAGGAGGTGTACAATTGACATACAATTGTCATATTAAAACCTATTGTCAAAATGCGTTCGTATTGATTGATTTGTTTACTCTGATCTCATTTATACTATTTTTAAGATGAGATTCCACTCACTGGTTGCCGGTTCACGTCGATCAATCAATTCATTGTCGATCGCCGGCAATATCATAAAATTCTTTCCAATATAGGTTTAACAAATGCAATAAATAAGTTAAAAATGTTATATATATTCTATAATGCACTCTAAATACAGTAAAAAAATTAATTTGAGACAATATGAAAAAAGCTGGACTTGTCCCTAAAAGTGACCATTTACAGTCAATCCAACACTGGGTGTAGTTTGTAATGAGTGGGTGATAATGATATAGTAGTAGTGCAAGTAAGTTCATTCTCAAAAAGTAACAATTATAATAAACCTTTACCATTTAGGCCCAGCTAGTCCCAGGTTACGTAGAGCTTGTGTTATGCGTACTAAGCTACTAAAAAAAAAATACTTAAAAACATTTTGGTTTTCAACTATAAAAACATAAAAAACACCCAGACTAATACAAACAATCATAGACATGAATACAATACTTTGCACCGTGCGCGGAATCGTACCCGGGTCCATGGGAAAGTAAGGCGGTGTGCTAAACCACTACATCGAAGCCGTCAAATAACTAAGTTATTGCAATGGAATGATAAGGTTGTGCATAAAATACGAACAAACGCTTTCATATATTAGATTATGGGATGCATTTATTTATTTTTAATTTTTCATTAACGTTATCATATATGTATAGGATAATTGTAAATAATTACATATTGATAATTAATTATTTACTAGTATTATATGTATAAAATATAAATTGACACCAAAATTTCACATTTGTTTTCAAATGCTGGATATATTGTGTGGGGATATAATTATATAACTACTTTTGTATATGGGTCATTGTGGAGGATAATTGAACAAATGATAATAATTCACTTTATTGTTATAATAGGGCTTATAGTTTTATTTTGCTTTGGTTCTGGCTTCTGAGCCAGCTTAAGTTGTGTGTCAGGAACAGCATTGCCAGATCTCCATTTTGGGCGGACGTCCTAATTTTGGCGGGATGTCAAAAATTTTTTACAATAACTTTTTTTCTTTGTACATCGGTATGTTCGCGGCCTTGGCAACATAGTTTTATGCCGCTGTTATGTAGGTGTCCCACGTTCAACGAAGTATTTCTAAATCCTACTTTACTGTGTCTGGTCTAAATCTGGAAATTCTGTTCATATTCACAGCTATTGATTAGAATATACCAAATTGAAATGCTTACTCAAGTATTTAAAAATGAGCAACTGTTAAAAGTTATAGTAATTATTCTAAAATATTAACATATGTATGATAGTGAATTACCGTAATTTTATAACCTATGTTAAAAATACTATAATCGTTCCTATGAGATTAAAAATATATTTACAAGCAGATACACAAGCCGAATAAATAAATAAATAGATATAATAATAATATTTTGCAAATGGAATTGTTATTCAAGAAAGACTGCTGTGTAACTCTTATAAATAAATATATTGTATAATTTAAATATAATAATATATCTTTACAATTTTAATCACATTCGGGGTAGTCAGACGCATCGTAAATTGTTACCTACTTCGTAAACGTTACAGTTGACATGACCCCATTTTGCTATATGGTATTTAAATAGTGAGCAAGCCTAACATCATCTCTCGGATTCATTTGTTTTTATCGATATTCCCATTACAGAAGAGATATAAATTACACAATATTTTTGTCCCAGGCAGATTTGAACTAACGACCTTTGGGATCTATAAGTCCAAGTATTACACAACTATGCTCTTTTATACGATGCTTAATTTATACTTTTTATGATACTTACTATATGTAAAAAATATTTATTGCTTATATTTTATACTTGTATAAAATATTTATTAATTAAGTTCTGAAGTTAGTTTATCGGTCGATGTCACATGCACATCTAAATTAAAATGTTTTGATCAAATTTGTATCATATATATAATACAATAGAGTTTATAATAGTTATCGATACAATTAATTTAAGTTTATTACACTATCTTTTATTGTAAGCGAAATTTTTATACACAGCCATTATTTTTATAGATATTAATATATAAAAAAATGTAAACCAAGTGGTGAATATATATCATATTGAAACTGTTGTGGTTTTTTATTTTATCCCATATCTATTCTATTTGTATAACAACAAATTTATCTTTTATATTACTAATTTAATAAATATTTTTTTTATATGTAATACATATTTTTCATATTTATAATGTTACACATTATGTTTTTGTAAAAGTATCTAATTTATTTTGGTATTATTTTATAAATAATCATTATTTAAATAAACTTAATACAATTTTTTAATAGTCATATTTTTTTTTATTCTACCGCATATTTGGAACACTGACTCGTCACGACGAGAATGACAAGGAACTTGCCTGTTGTTCTTTTAAAGAAATGTTGTTTTAAATAATTACTATTATTATATAATATTAAGGACGAGGTATGCGAAAATAAACATAGATAAGGATATTATTAATAATATTCAGTGTTAGGGAGTAAATATTTAACTTTTATTAATTATAGTAATTTTACATAGATTATAATAATTAAATAATTATATATAAAAATATTATAAGAAAGGTTATTTAATTGATATTAATTTAGAATCTTTATTATTTAAATTATTAACCGAGTCTTAACGAATAATTTTATGGCAAATAAAAGTATTTAGAATCTTATCATATCACATATTTAGTGTATTATATATTTCTGTACTGGTACGTCTATCCACAGATAACATAATATTACATAGTCTATCTGACTGATCATTTACAGGTAAACGATAAATCAGACTTGTAAGTCATTAGATATAACTGACCTACAATAGTAGTACTATGCGTCATTCAAGTTTCAGTATCAAACAAGTCATAGTACTAGGAAAACATGAAACGCAAGCAGATTTTCTTTTACAACTATTTTCTGCGATTACTTCATCCACAGTCAAGGCGTTTCGGCCGAGTCCGCGACTCTAGACCTCCGTCGCGTCAGTGTACCAGCGACTACGGTCTGTGTCAGACCTATGTTAAGCTTTCGTTCAACTACGAACTCGAACACGTAATTTCATCCGAACGAACTATGTGGAATCATTCATAAATATAAGTGTCGTATTTTTTTTTTAATCTGTGCAGTGTGTCTATGACGATGGAGCTGTTTTTATGTGTATTTGTGTGCGCTTGCGCTAGTGTCCTAGGGTTTAATGTTGATATACCATCGAGGGTAGTTTTCACCGGCGATCAGAGGTCTATGTTTGGATTCACTGTCCAATCTCATATGGAAGGAGATCGAAAAACGTAAGTAAATAATATATAAGTTTTTAACAGAGTTTACTTGTTTATGTATTTTTTTACTGTAATTAAATCATCATTAAAGACTAATTAAGACGTTAATGCATGTAGCGACCACAGATTAACTTATATGCATCAAATACCAAGAATTGTTTGTTTGTTCTTTATTAAGTTTGTATATATTTAATGTTAGAGAATTTATCGAGTAGAATTTACATACAGATGGTTCAATATTATTGCAAATCTTTATATAGTATTAAAAAAAATCGCCACCGCTGTCTGTATGCTTAGATCATTTAAATTACACAATATTGCTGAAAAAAGATAGATGATTGAAGAGGAACCTTTATATATCTATAGTACCTAAACTATTATTCAAGCTAAGAAATTAAAAAAAATGTAATACTCCGGGCAAAGCCGGTGCTAGTTAAAACTAAAATAAAAAAACTGCTTACTGTATAAAATTTATATAATTAAAATAAATATAGTAATAATAAATATAATGTAGGACAATTCACATAGTGCCATCTAGTCCCAAGCTAGGCTGAGCCTGTGTTAGGTATACTATTAGACTAAGGTAGAAGCTAGACTACTGATATACGAATGTACCTATATAGACACATTTTTTTTAAATAAATTAATTATGTTAGCTACTTGCAGTCGAATATATTATTATATCACTATATAATATGTAGCTATGCAAATAATACAGTGACATTTAATCGTAATAACTTTTAATCATAATATTTAGAATACCTACAAAGATATGGGACATCGACCTTATGTTATTGTACATTTGAATGATTTAAAATATTCCTTTCGAGTTCAGCATAAAGAGTAAGTATTATTTATAAAAATAATTACTGAACTTGATTACTACATAAAAAGAAATTACATAATTACTATAACGACTGAATAAAATAAACATCAAAATTTACAAACAATATGCCGAACATAAAGAATCACCCGTGCGAAGCCGGGACGAGTAGCTAGTATTATATAAAGTGTTGAATAGATCTATATCTATATAGATATCTTCTTGAAACTACCACTCCTTCGGAACACAGGCTCATCACAATAGGAATGAGCAAGAAACTTGCGTGTTGCTCTTTTAGCAAAGTTGACATAAATAAATAGTTATTTGAGTAACACTTGTAATTATAAACACAAGACAGGCAAACATTTTACATGCTATAAAAATATATGTAAGAGCTCCTATTTCACTGTTAATATTTCGAGCCAGACGTCTCATATGACTGCTTACTGCTGACTATTGACTGAGTGATTGTAAAAAGCATGATCTCATCACTTTAGGAAGCGTGTGTGATTTTTAGCATATTACAACGAATTGATTGAATTGACTCAATACCGATTAATATGGTGAATAATAACTATTTTTTTTTATACTACGATGGTGGCAAACAAGCATACGGCCTAGGGGCTGTTCAAGTATTACGTAAGCAGATTTATCACAATTATTTACCCCTCATCCCCCGTTGTCAGCAAAAGTAAGCAAAGCTCTTACCCCTCCCCCCATGCTTACGTAAACATTTCTCAATTAATGTATTGTTTTTTTAGCAAAGACAATGTGACGGTTGCCATTCGTGTAAAAAAGTAAATTACGACCGATGACGTAATCATCATACAGACTCCCCCACCCCCATGTCATCCAAAATAAGCAAAGAAAAGACCCCCCGCCCCCCTATAGTGCTTACGTAATACTTGAACGGCCCCCTATCTGATGGTAAATGGTGACCGTAGCCTGTGGACGCCTGAAACACCAGGGGTGTGACGTGCGCGTTGCTGACCCTTAAGAAACCTTAATATACCATTCATATCTTCACATTTGTAATTTTAGTTGGTATAGACAGAGGCATTATCAACTTTTGATATTGTGGTGAACGCAATCCTTGAAATACTATGTTACTTATTATGATTTATATTGATTAATTTTGTTTTTTCTAATTTATAATAATGGTGTGCCCGCCTGCGTTAGTACTATATAGGGTTGGATGAAGTCAGGTTAGTTAGCCTATCATGATAACTTCAACCATGATTCCTTATAAAGGGGACCTCTTGGAGGTTGACCTGACATATTACATTGCTAGCAATAGAGCATAATACGAGTATGTGGTCAGATCAGTTAGCAATCTTGGCCAATTCACCAGGAATTTATCACGATGGTGTCCAGGAGAAACTGCGTGGAGGTCAACCTGTCATAGTACAGTGCCAGCAATGTGGTTCATTATCAAAGTTTATCAACAATCCCTCATTCCTTAATGTTACCAAGTTAGATAATCTACGATGGAATGTAAATTTTTTTTTTATTATCTAAGAGGATGTTAGATAGAGAACTAATGATGGTTAACAAAAGTCTAAAGAAATAAGTTACTCGAAGGTTATAATTCTACGCAGACAAAGTCGAATTATAAGTTCACTTACCTAATATGGGTATCTGTGCGAGTTTAACCTCTGATCTTGCATAAAAATAAACATTGAACCGGTCATTATCTATTTACATTTTTGTCGCTAGTAATTCTTAACAGCAACTCATTAAATAGTAATTAAATAGTGTACGTGTTGTGTAATCCGAGTCGCTTTCTTTTTACTAATTCGTACATAGTATATAATGAAGTCGATTCCGCTGTCTGGTCGCTTAGATCTTTTAAACTACGCAAAGGATTTTAATGCAGTGTTTAGAAATTGATAAAGTGATTCAAGAGGAAAGTTTATATGTATAATACATGCACACCTGTGCGAAGCCGAACGGGTAGCTAGTGTAAAAATAAATTAGTATATGATATCAATGACAAACTAAAGTCTGAATAAATAAGTGCAACTGAAATAAGTGTAACTGAATAATTAAATTTTGATTGAATTTAATGCATCTCTTGCTAAATTGTTTTATATGTATCTAAATATATATAACTCAAAGGTGATTGACGTAGTGGTCTATCAACGCACAGTCCAAATCATTGGACGGATCGGGCTGAAATTTGGCATGTAGGTAGATGTTATGACGTAGGCATCCGCTAAGAATGGATTTTGATTAATTCTACCCCCAAGGGCATAAAATAGGGGATGAAAGTTTCTATGAAACTTTGTCAATTTTAAATAGATTGGGTTGATACTTTGCATACATAAAGCTACTATGACGTAGGCATCCCCTAAGAAAGGATTTTGATAAATTCCACCCCTAAGGGGATAAATTAACGCGAGCGAAGCCGCAGGCAAAAGCTAGTTACCTAAATAAGTTTGTTTTGGGTTGGAATGTATTTCGCAGATTATTATTATCATGCACAAAATGTAAACATGTATTTATTAAACGCGTTTAACATAATTTAATACAGAAATCACCATTAACAATTAAAAGCATAGAATTTCATATCACAATAATGAATTTATATGGGGGGTTATTCGGGAATAGCATGATATTGTGGTTTTATTGGTAAATGTATTTGTGTCATACACTAATAATATAAATATTTAATTATAAACACATAGAACAAGCATAGTAAATATATATATATGTATGTCATCTTTATATATATATAGTATAAAATAAAGTCCCGTCGCTGTCTGTTCGCTTATATTTTAATTTACGTAACGATTGATTCAAGAGGAAGGTCATCATTGCCTTGCCTTTATCCCATTATTTGGGGTCGGCGCAGTATGTCATTCTCTTCCACTGCTCTCTATCAGTCGTCATATCTAAACATACTCTTCTTTTATTCATATCATCTTTCACACAATCCATCCATCTTTTCTTAGGGCGTCCCCTCCCTTTACATCCATAAATGTATAATACATGCATGTTATAGTATAGAACAGGCTGAGAAATTCAACGTTAATTCGTGTAATTTCACTGTGGTATGGCACCACTCGTACGTTGCCATTCCTGGGAATTTTGGTGCTGTACACTGTTATTTAACTGCCATATCTCACCCGTCTATTTGGAACTAGCTGTAGTCATCATTAACATCATCATGACACCTTGTAGTCTAATACTGTACCTATGCCTCTCCCGACGTGGTACACGTAATCACATTACAAGTTACTTTTTAAACATTTTTCCTTTCCATCAAGAATGAGTATTATTTATTGCATATAACATCCTATTGTTAATTTTGTGTACTCTCCCGCCATAGTTTATTATCTCTGACACTACCCGGCGACCCCATAGACAATAACGCCGCAAAATTTCATTTTAGGAACCGGAAACACGGCCGACGCGTCACATGCTCGACACATGCGATCGCGCAGACCGCGCGCCCTTTTTTACTTTTTTTTACTTAATTTAGTCGTGAACGGGGCTATTTTTGTTGTGTGGGGTGCGACGTCGCTTCTCACTTGATTTATGGTGGTTACGCTTACAAATAAACTCTATGTGAATGTATTTTTTAGTCAGTGTATGTGTCATTAGTAAAGGTTCGCCCAACAAGTGGCCTCAGACGGACTAATGGTAAAGATAAGTAATGACTTGGAATACATCAATGTGGTGCAGCTGTGGTCGAATGTGTTCATTTTATTGATTACTTATTGGTCTCGACTATCTATTGAAATGTTCTGTGGTTTGCTCTGTGGGGTAAATGTATTAGTTTTTTTATTGTTGACAACTTTGTATAGTACCTATATTCTTAATAATAAATCAATCAAATTTTATATCAAATAAATCGTAATATTTCCAGACAAAAGTAAAAATACCCAATAATAAAAAAAATACTCATATAAAATACAACGAATATTGTGAGTGTTGTCACAATCTTTTGTTGGACAATCTAGTGACGGTAGTAGAAAAAAAGTGCTGCACTTAGCTCCAGTTAGCTCGTGACCATGGTTAGTGCACCCTAGTCGAAATGTCGAGAGAGGGCCCTTTATTTACCGTAACATAAAGACCCTGTTAACAATATAAAGAATTCCAAATAAATCAAAATTTCTATATCTAAATGATAGATTTTGTCTTTTCTTTGTCTGGTGCAATAAAGTGTTTAAATAAAAAAATACTC